ATGTCTTTGGGAACTTACTACGGTTCCTTCAGTATATTTCTCACCCTTCCCAGGAGAAATCCTTGGCTGCAACCAGCCTCTGTGTTCCCATAATCCCTTGCTACCTCAGGTGCATTCCCTGGACCAGCAGCGGCAGCATCATCTGGGAGCTTGTTAGAAATGTAGAATCCTGGTCCCTTCCCAGACCGACTGACTCAGAATCTGCATTTTAGCAAGAACACCAGGTAATTTGCACGTTGGGTCTGAGAGGCATTGCCCTAATACCCAGAGTTTTCCCCATCATCCCACAGCTTAAAATGCCCACCCTTCCAGCTACTTTTATTTATCCACTTCCTACTTGTCCTTCAAAGCTTAACTCTGATCCCTCTCCATCTATGAGGCCCCCAATATTTACTCCCTCCACCTTACCCCTATAGGTCATGACTTTTTGAATTTAAACAAATGAATGTTTCATTGTCTCAGTTTTTGTCTTCTCAACACCTGAGGTAAATCTCCACCCACTCCAGAGGTTTTCTAAAGGCCTGGCTCTTCTCTGTAACCTAGTAGGTTCCAACCAAACCACAACCCGCAAAAGGCATAAAAAGTAAAACAAAACAAAACAAAAAAACAGACAAAAAAACCTAACCACTTGTGAATATTGACTTGGTACAAAAAAGTTTCCCTAACTTTTTAGTTTGAGATTATTTGGACAGAGGATTTTTAAAAATAAGTTTACTTTTGGGGATGGGATAATTTTTTTTTCCTGCTTCACCATGGTGCGCACAGGAAACTTAGGACTGTCTCTGGCTCTCTCCAGGAATGTGCCATGCAGTGTTATCTCTTTTCCTGGTCCTAGACCCTGAGGCAAGAGACACATCTTTGAGACTTCCATCTCCCCAATTCCAGGAGGGAGCAGAGGGCATACATCCTAGCTTACCTATAAATCCCCAAACCTATCCAGTGGATTATAGGATCTCTCCTAAGGCTTAGCACAAGGGGGTGTAGGAAGGAGAGCAAGGACTCCACACTGACTTTCAACTTCCTGGTTTCCTTTCTGTGTCAACTTTTCATACCTTGAACAGCTTTTAGTTCCATCCTGACTCTCTATGTCCTTCAAGTGTATTCTTTATGGCATCAATTTGAAGTTCGAAAATACCCAGGTTCTGACAACTCAAAAGCCTTTTCCTCAAAGCTATTGTCCATGGGCATCAAGTCATTTTGATGTTCATTGGTAGTCAAATGGCTTCTTTGAGCAGAAGCCTGTGTGGCCACATATGGTGGTAGACAAAGAATTGGGGCCAAATAAATTGCTGGAGGAAATGCCTCCATTAATATCAGATTCTTACTATGTGTTTGGTGTGACATAGGCGTGGCTTTCTGCATTCCACATAGATGAGCAGTCACACACGTAGGACATTTTGGACTATTGCTTGATCACGGCAGTGGTTGATCTATAGCTAGCAAAGGCTGTCACTTCAGAGGGCCTGTGGGCGGGACACTTGCCTGGGAAAGAGGTCTGTGGCGAAGGAAGGTTTGTGTGGCTTGGGTCACATCATCCGTTTCCTTAATGAAACTCTCTCCTCGGCATGGAGATGGTTCAGTTACCACACAACCCTCGGGTAGGGCCAAGAAGCATAGCATGGGCTTTATCTTTCTCTCAGCTCTTCAAACTCGGAGCCCACCACAGACACCTCTGTTTGAGGATCGGTGAAGGGAATCAGTTAAACTAACGAAACTTTAAATCAAGCCACCACGGCCTCGCTTTGCATTCTTGCGGTATCGTAATTTATTTTAAGTCAGTGTAGAAAACAGTTTACTTAAAGAACCAGATCCATCCAAGATACCAACACACACATAGGCCTTAGGTGCTACAAATACAGGAGAGGGAATTTGGGTTTGTTTTGGTAGAGGCCTGATGGGCAGGAGGCCCCTCTCTGCCATCCTGTCACTTTCCCCCCCCCCCCCACTGGAAATGCCACTTCCTCATTCCCTGGGCCTTGGTGTTTCAGAAGCACACAGAGACCACCTTCTCAGACATAGTGTGTGTGCTCCTGAGCTCATTCCTGTGTGCTGGCTCGGGGATGGCGCGATGCCTGAGAAAGCAGACACAGGAGGGAAGGACGAGCCCCTCCCACCGCATCTCTTCTTTCTGTGCTATTTGCTCAGGGGGAAAGAAACAGCACTCTCTTCCTCAGTGTTCCTCCTCCACACACTTTTGATAAGCACTGTTTTCACTTTGTATCTGCTGATCGATAAAGCCAAGGGTCGGTCTTGTCTGTTCCCAGAGATAAAGAACTGCATGCATAACTGGTCTTTATCCAGCCAAACTAGCATGGTTTTTCTTTGTTTTTCACAGTGTTTCTGAGAGATAAGAGGAAACCATGCAGACATGATGCATGACTGGGGAGGTTTTGAAATACTTTATAAACTCGTGCTCTATTCTGAGCTGTGGGTTAGGGATGGAAAGAAAGGAAGAGGGCACCACATGTAATCTAAGTTGATTTTTTTCCCCTGCATTTAAAACAAGCAGGTGAACATACACACAGAACATGAATAAATGCTCAACCGAGGAAAAAATAAGCTGATTTTCAATTAGTAGCATAGAAGTAAAATAGGGAGAATTTTAGTAATTCCAATGAATACATACCCCGAAAATTCAGTGATCTTTTCCTATCACAAAAACTATTTCTTGTCATATGGATTCAGAACCAATATTGGCAGACAAGACCTAAGTTCATCTGAAGAGCCAGATATATTGCCAGGAAAATGTGGGCTGGGACCAGGTCAGTCCTATGAAATCCATGCCATTCGAGTCTCTTAGCATGTTTCTGAGGGCAAGCCAGGCTGGAGGGGTTGATATGGGACTGGGGATGGAAGCTATTCAGTAGAGTGAGACTCAATGTAAGATCAGTTGGCAACTGATAGAGGCACAAAGGAAAAGGTGTTTTTAATAGCAAATGAAAATTTGGGGTAGCAATTTGAGTAGATGCAGGGTAGGAAATCATTTAGGAGAAATTTGCTGTTCAGAGCAAATGTTCAAAGACCCAAGGCTGAGCCTTGAAATGATGGCAGGAATGTCTGGGAAGATAAGAGTCTTCGGGAATTTTAGACAGAAAGGAGGAGTACAGCCAAAAGACAGAGTTAGGTTGCTAATAGAAGGAAAATTTAAGTTGAAAGCCACGACATCACTGTTTCTGAGCAACCAGATAGAAAATGAGATAGTAAAGTCTTAGTGAAGCTGAACAGTGCTTCCTTGTCTGTGTTACATACTCTGCACTACTTTCTTTCCACCCTTAGGCTCATGAACCTAAATGCTCTAAGGTAGACTTCTGGCTATATCTTATCTCCAGTGCTGGATAGTAAGTTCCCTGTAAGGAAAAAAAATATGTCCCGGGTTTTCTAGAATTTCCCCCATAATACTGAGTTTAGGGCCTCACTGGAATAGTAACTCAGGAAGTGTTAATTGGCAGAATTAATTAATGAACAGCCTCCTCTTTATGTAATTAATTTCCCAAATTAAATGTTAGATTTGAGGAGGCCAAAATCTGGATTATATTTTGCCTTTCTCGTGTTGGGTATATCAGAGGAGCAAAACCCTGTAAAGAAAGGAAGGAAGGAAGGGAGAGAGAGAGAGAGAGAGAAAGAAAGAAAGAGAGAGAGAGAAAGAAAGAAAAAAAAGAAATGGGGAGAGAAAAAGAAAAAAATCATTAGTACCTTATTTCAGAAGGAATTGGTGAGTATAATGGTAGATATCAGGCAGAAAGACTTGATGTGTGAGGAGAGAGGCCAAAATCCAATGGACTTTTCTTTGATCTTAGATTCATTCAATCTAAGGCTGAACTTCAGGTGATTTTGGAGGGGCAGGTGGGGGGTGGGCAGTGGCCACGGTTATTCTGACTGGTACTTTTCTGGAGCAGGTCTGCGTTTTTGGAAGTTTGGCTTCATGAGAGCAGAGGGAGGTCTTATCTATCTTTTCATTGTCATACCTCCAACATCTAGAACAGCCTTCCTGTCATATAGTAGGGGCGTAAGAAATAATTGTGGAAGGAAGGGAAAGAGGGAGAGCTCTGCTTTTCATGCCAGTAAAAACCTGGCACTTATTTACTCCCAAAGGCCCCCTCAGGTTCTGTGTTAGGTACTGAGAATACCAAAAAGGTGAGATGCCATGGTCTTGTGGCATCTTGATTGTCTAGTAGAGAGAGACAGAGACAGAGGCATAACACCCCAGGTGGTAAGTGCTCCCCCAAAGAGTCATGGTGAGGTAGAAGGAGTGAGCCAAAGGGAGCTAGGAGCATCTCATCTGCCCTGAGAACCTCTCACACCTAAGCAGAATCCTAATAAACTCAACACTGCTTTGTAGGCTTGAGGACATTTTCATCTCTAGGGTCCTAAGAACGGACTGTGGGTAGATTGAGTAAAATATGGAAGACTGCAAGTCATTGCATTTTAGCCATTCTCTATTCAGAGTCATTTTGATATTGAAAGTGATTTTGTCTTGGTACTTACTGGACTTTGGTTTCATTCTGGGAGTGCAGCAGCTACCATGAGTCTGTCATGCAGCAGCCTGTCAGAGCGCTGTGGCTTTATAAGCACAGTCTAAATGACACAGACTGAAGGCCCATTACCTGGGCCAGACCTGCGCCGCACACTGGGAGTGACAGCTTTATTAAGCATGATCCGTTAGGCCCAGTCTTTGTTCCTCTCTGTGCAATTTCTTGTTCCCGTGACAAAGATTAATGATATAACCGCGGTAAAGTGGTCTTTGCATTTTATCGAAGCCAAGGGCAATAAAAATGTGTATTTCCCATCAACAGCAAATTTTCTGAAGAGGGTGGATAAACTTGACAACAAAAAGTGAATCAGTTGTTTAAAAACAAAAAGTTACTTCTGGTTAAGCTTATTTACATAAGCGGAAAAGGATTTGGGGAATATGCTGATGGACCCTAACGAGAAAATCCAGTGTCTGTGGAAAAAAAAAGAAGATCCTGATCTGACTTCTGCTTCTTGATTTCCTTACTCAGGTACTGACCCCAGCGCAGATCAAATCAATTTGCCAGGCGATTCTGGACTCTGGGAAGCAGTATGCCATGAAAAAAAGGAAACCATTCCCCCTGATGTATTCTTACTATGGGACTGAATACTTGGGTGAGTGAAAGTGTTGGCAAAGTCCTCTAATACCCACACTGACTAAAAACTAGAAGATTTTGATTTGGGATCATCACTCTTCATTTAACTAGAAACACTTTAAAATGCCATTTAAAAACAAATATTGATAGATACTACAAATCACAATTTAATGTTTGTTCTCATAGTCTGACAGAAAGGTAGCTATTTTGATGATTGCTTTCCCTGAAGACTAAAATCCTTATTCTAGATTGTGAGTTCATTGGCTGAATTTCACCAAAAGTTATTGAATGGTTTATACACTCATTGCCAACGATGCCTCTGTACAGGGAAACAGGATGAAGCCACTGACATTTTCAAGTGTTTAATATTAGTGGATTAATAACAGACTACTGGGGCGCCTGGGTGGCTCTATCAGTTAAGCGTCTGCCTTCGGCTCAGGTCATGATCCCAGGGTCCTGGGATCGAGCCCCACATTGGGCTCCCTGCTCCGCGGGAAGCCTGCCTCTCCCTCTCCCACTACCCCTGTTTGTGTTCCCTCTCACTGTTTTTCTCTCTCTGTCAAATAAATAAATAAAATCTTAATAATAATAATAATAATAACAACAGACTACTGAGTCATAATGGCTACTTTTGAGACATGAGGCCTGTAGAGTGAAAATTGGTTACTCCCCTTTTGAATCTTTCAGTGGCTCCCCGTCATTCCTGAGCATGACTTACAGAGCCCTCTGTAGATCACCTGCTCCTTTCTCCAAACTCAAGCTCTGTCTCTTTCCCTTTTCTGGTTCTGTCCTGTATAATCCCCTACAAGCAAAGTGCTCGTGCTCTCAAATCTTCAAAATCTGTGTCCCTGTTCCTTTTGCCCAGAATGCCCGGCCTCCCCCAACCCTTTCAACTATCTGTAATACACCTAGACTTCAAGGCTGATCAAACATCATCAGAGCTTTTGAGAAACTGCACTTTTGGAAAAAGGTTTTATTAAATCTTCTCTGGAGAAACATTCACATGTTTCAGGTTTTACCCTGAAGCAAAATTGGTTAGTGTCAGGTCACCCTGCCATGCTTTTATTGGAGCCTTTATCACTTTATGCTGTAATTAGTGGTTTGCCTGTCCAGCTGCCTCAGAGGGCTTTGTGCACCTTCAGGATGAGGACTTTTGCTCACTTATCTTTGTGATCCCTGGACATTTACCAACAGCCTGTACATAATGAAGGTACCCAACTTCAGCAATGAGCTTATAGACTAGTAGTTCTCTGAGAGATTTCTCAAAGAACCTTTTTAAGTTCCTACTGACTTTCTCTAGAATCAGACCTTGAGACAAGGATTTGGGTATAAATGGCTTATTTGGGAGGTGATCCTAGAAAGTGTTGATAAAGGACTGAGGAAATGAGACAGGGTAGAGAAATAGGTTAATAGAGGATGTAATAGTGAACAGCTGTGGATAACTGAGGCTTTGTTCCACTGGGGACCCCGAAGACTGTCTAGAACATGCCTCAGAATTGCCCCACCCCCATGGTGAGGAAGCTGGGGTATTCATCCACCAGCTCCTTGCTTCCTGTGTCGAGGGCTGTTCCCAGACCTGTTAATTCCCTAGGACCTCAGTCCTGTCCCTGTGGGCTGGGCATACCCCTGTGGCCAGAGAAAGCCTCAGGCAGAAGGATAAATGCTTGAGGTAGAAGCTGGGGAGGAGAGGTGCCCCAGAATGGTGACTGTGGGCAAGGTGATGGGCAGGGCACTGGCAGTGTCTGCTAGAGTTCCTTAATAGAACTATTCCTTTCATTTTCCATTTTTTTAGAGAAATTAACATTCTGGTCATTCACATGTATAGCACAAACCAGATTGCTATCTAATGCATAAATATTTTCCTGGAAAGCTTTTTTACCTAACAAATTAAATCCAGTGAAAGAAAGGTACCTTCAAGTATTATGACTAAATTTTAGGAAGAAGTTTTTTTAAGATTTTATTTATTAGAGGGGGGTGGGGAGGAGCAGAGGGAGAGAGAGAATCTCAATCAGACTTCCTGCTGAGTGTAGAGCCCAACGCAGGACTCGATCTCACGACCCAGAGATCACGACCTGAGCTGAAACCAAGAGTCGGACGCCTGACTGGGCTCCAGAAGAATCGTTTTTGACTGGCTAAAACTAAGACCATTTTTGGGCAGTTCCAAGGGCCTGAGTACAAAGAGAAAGCTTTACCGTTATGGAGTTGAATTTACTGTGTCTGCTTTCAAGTAATACCACCATTCATTTTTTTATACTATGATTGTCTTTTCACTAAATTAAATGGGCTGTCCTCCCAATTGTGTGAATTAAGTATGCTGTGTTTCTTGATACAGGAGCAGCTCATGGCCTGTCGTCCATTCTCCAGATGCTTCTGTCTTACCACGAGCACCTCAAGCCCTCAGATCAGGAGCTGGTATGGCAGAGTGTGGACTTCCTCATGGAGCAGGAACAGAACTGCAACTGGCCACCCGAGCTCGGCGAGGCCATCGAGAGAGAGAACGAGCTGGTGCACTGGTGCCATGGCGCCCCAGGTCTCACCCACACTGTTATCTGAAAACATTGCCTTTCACTGGGCTTAGCCAAAGAGAGGTGTCTTTTCTGAGGACTGAGGGTATTTCTCATCTTATGTCATTACTACATGAGCTAAAAAGGTCAACATGAAACTTGTCAAACCAAAAAAAGTCTTGATCTGTAAAGGATCTCTAGAAATGATCCTGTAATTTTAACAATATATGATCCATATCTATTTGTGTATAAATTAAACTAGGACTGTCCAATAAAATATAATATGAACCACATATGAAATTAAAGTTTTAGTAGCCCCATTAAAAATGTAAACAGAAACAGGTGAAATGAATCTTAATAATAGATATTTTATACCCCAAGTGTTTTTTCAACGTGCAACCAATTTAAAACTTGAGCTGTTTCAGTTTTTCTTCATATTAAAGTGTTTTAAAGCCAGTGTATATTTTATACTAACACCCCATCTCAATTCACACTAGCCACATGGCAAGGGCTCAATATCTGCATCGAACAGTATAAATCTGGAGGCTGGTAATTCAAAATGTGGTCCCTGGACCAGTGGCAGGAGCAACATCGGAGCTGGTTAAAAATGCAGAACCTCAGGCTCCACCCCAGACGCAATGAATCAGAATCTGCATGTTAACAAGATCCCTCCGTATTTATATGCACATTAAATTTTGAGATGCACTATTCCATAATTCTTCAAATGAGGATTTCCATCATCACCTAATAAAAAGTCTAGAGAACTGAGAAGCCATCTGCGGTGAACTCTCTGGAATTGAGCCTAGAAATTTATCAGACTCCATCTTTTCTTTCTTTCTTTTTTTTTTTCTTAAATCCCATTACCCTGTTAATTAGGCTTTCTGAGAAGGAGCAATTTGAAAGAAGTTAAATTCAAATAAATCAATTAATTTCAGTTGATTGGCCAGGGGAGAGATTTAAAATACCAAAATAACACAAAAATTTTGGATTAGGTGTGGATTTAATTTTCTTTTTTTTTAAAGATATTTATTTATTTATTTATTTATTTGAGAGAGAGAGAGAGCCAGTGAGAGGAGGGGCAGAGGGAGAAGCAGGCTCCCCGTGGAGCAGGGACCCTGATGCGGGGCTCGATCCCAGGATCTTGGGATCATGACCTGAGCCGAAGGCAGATGCTTAACTGACTGAGAGCCACCCAGGCGCCCCAGGAGTGGATTTAATTTTCAAGGCTATGCTTCAGTGCCATGAGCACAGCTTTAAAATATATTCAATTTCTCTTTGGTCTGTTACCTGATTTTTATTACTTCCTTTCTGCTCCTTACCTAATTAATCTTCTGTAATCCAACTGCAGTTTCACTTTCTCTTTGGTACAGTTTGAGTTGAAGAATAACAAGTTTTAGCTCACTGGCCATGTTTTCTGTGCCTGTCACGTTTACCTAAGGAAGGAACTTCAAAGGCTCCTGTGTGTGTTTGTCCCGGCACCAGCGCATTGTGCATTATGTCCAAGCTCATTCCCGCTGGTGATGATTTGAGCCCATTTCTTCTGGCTTTGAACTTTTTGGAGAACAAGTTATTTACTATTCTGGAAATGATATCCCTTCATGTTACGCTCAGCACTTTCCTATCCCATTTCCCTTTAATCATTCTCAGTGATGGTCTCTGGCTATCCTCCAAGCACCCCCAGAATCCTTGAATTTTGAAGGTGTCCCAAGTTAAATACAGAATATTTTAAAGGGACTCAATGTGCTAGTAACAGCCTTGCAAAGATGGGAAGATAATCCATTAAAAGGAGTGACTGGGTCGGTTAATTGATGGGGGTGTCTTTGTAAATCATGCACCGTAACAGTATAGTGTACGATTTATCACCTTGGGGACTTCATTTGTCCTCATATATCATTCACGTTCTGTATCTTGGTAAGATTAAACATAGGTTGCAGAGCAAACTCATTAAAACCCCGTATTCACTGAACTACCAAAAACAAACCAGTTCACAAATGAATAAAGAACCAACTGGGGCCCATTATGTATGCCAACCCGCACTCCCACCTCAAGGATATTGGTCCTCCTTTTATGCGATGTGCTAAAAACAACCTAAGAGTGATTATAAATCTGATAAGTACAGGTTAAAGACCATCAAGTCGGCAACACTAAACTCCCCCAAAATTCTAAAAAAGATGACTTAGAAAAATCATTTTCACTTGTTTGAGGAAAACATTTTTTGAGAGCAGATTTATGAACAGTGCAGATGGTTTGGGGCAGCCTACTGATTCTGTGAATAAAAACCTGCAAGAGATAATCCAAATGTGGAACTTCATCAACGATACCTTATCTCCCCCTACAATTGTTTCCTATCGACTGTCCTTCAACCCACCTCTACAGGTGACGGACAGCCATAGTTATCATTGAGACAGTGTGGAAAGAGTTCTTGCTTCGAAGTGAGTAACTTTGGGTTCTAATCGTAGCCCCAATGCTAACCACTAAATGACCTTGAGAAAACTACTGTGTGCTTCTGTAGGTCTCTCTTGACACCACTGTGGGACATTTTGTCTATAATACTAACTGCATCATTAAAAGTAAAACCCAACCAATTCACAACAAAATGAGTCCCAAAAGATCTGTAGACACCCACATTTAGAAATAGCCAGTGTGGCATCTAGTTTTTCTCACTAAATACAACGCCATACAGCAGGCAGATGCATATGACCTCTTCATAGCCTTAATGATTCTGAAATACAGGATGAGAGTCATTTACAAAATCATTAAAACAAATGCTGTGTCTAAAATAAATTCTAGATTGCATTATGTTACATCATTACTGTGGTAACACGGACAGTGCATTTCCTTTCCTCACACAGAGGAGGAAACACAGGTTTGGCTAGTTTTTAAAATCATTTCACAAGGGGTCCTGGGTACGTGACTTTGAATAGAGAACAAGGGCTTGACCAGTGCGGGTGTCATTGGTCCCCAAGCTTTGTCACGCACTGTACAATGCGTGCCTCAGCGAAATGACAGACCGCAGAGCGGACCTGTGTGGTGATGCTCCAATCTGTTCAAACTATGCGTGCCGAGTCTAGCTGTCACGAGGCTCTGCTAGATTGCATGCTTTCACAGGTTTAGCTTCTCAAACCATATTTCTTAAGTAATGATTTCTTTCCCCAGTGTTTGGTAAACACGTATATCGTTGGTGACTTAGGTTTCTGATAAGTGCCCAATAATCAGTGTTCCGGGGCCAAAATGACATGGTTCCTATCAAAAGCAAAGAAACCCAACCTTCCTTCCTTTTAGATTAAGCAACCTTATTGCGGGTTTCAGTAGGTCAGGTTAGAAGACAAGGGGTTTAGAAGTCTTTCAAGGTCCCTTCCATGGACCATTCTGTGATTCAGGCTGCAGGAAGAGGTCCTTTGTCTCTGGCCGGAAGCAGAGGATCGATAGCTACTAAGCTGCCTTGGGCTAATGGCCTGGCACAGCAATTGGACCATATCAGCCCTTCTTGCTTCCATGTCTCGTCTCTGCCTCGGTGTCGGCCTGTGCTGGGGTGAGAAATGAGGCTTTATAAGGTCAGCAGATGCTTTTGGAGCCCTTGCCAGGTCAAACAGCATACCATAGACTAGGGGAGCAAAAGTGAACAAGACAGAGTTCCCGCCCGTTAGTAGTTTGTAAGGTCCTAGGGGAGGCAGACATATAAACATAATTTTAATATGATATTGTCTAAGTGCTAAGGTTTGTATAGGGAATGATGGGAACTCAGAAGAGGGATTCCAGGTGCCCCTCCAGGTTTGGGAAGGGCTTCCTGGAGGCAGTGATGAGGTGAGTTGGCCAGGCCAAGAAAGTTGGGAAGATTATTCCAAGAAAAGTCAGAGGCTTGGAACCACATAGTGAAGGAAGGGGAACTGTGGGGGGTTTGGTTTTACTGAAGCGAAAATCTTCAACTAGGTAATGGAGGAGACTTTGGCAGAACAGAGTAAGAGCTGAATCACAGAGGGCTTTTTGTGTCTCAAGTGGAGACTAGCTTCACCTGGCTTCTGAGTGGGTGCTAAGAGTCATAGATTACACCACAGTGTTGGTCCATCCTGAGGCAGGGGAGCTGACCTTTAGTTTCCCTGTGTCGGAACCAGTCGTTGGCTGAAATCTCCTGGGGAGGTGGGCATATAGCATAGCCTTTCATTTGGCTGAGTGCAAATCTCTCAAGAAGAGGGCAGCTGTGAGCTTTCTTAGCAGCCAATTCATAGCATCTGGGAAATGGGGCACCTGCAGGTAAGGTAAAGGCAATCCAGCAGAGCACCAAGGGCTTCCAGTTCACCCGGCTCATTCTTCCTCATCTTTCGTAGTCAGGCTAGATGGTGTCACTCCCCCTAGTGGGCCTTTCCTACCTCTAGGTGTGGGTTAGGAGCCTTCCTGTGTGTTCCATAACAGCTCTCCTTCCCCTCAGATAACCTAATTAATGCCTCCAGTTAGATTGTAAACACTGTGAAGGGAGGGGCTTTTTAAAACCTTAGCACCTACTACTGTACCTGATATATAGTAGGTGCTCAGTTACTATCTAAACAACCACCAAATCCCTTGAGCCTTTTATTAACCTCTTTGCTATCTTTCTGCCAACATGATCAGCTCATAGCTACTCCACTGTGCTTTTTTTTTAAGATTTTATTTATTTATTTGAGAGAGAATGAGATAGAGAGAGCACGAGAGGGGGGAGGGTCAGAGGGAGAAGCAGACTCCCTGCTGAGCAGGGAGCCCGATGCGGGACTCGATCCCGGGACTCCAGGATCATGACCTGAGCCGAAGGCAGTCGCTTAACCAACTGAGCCACCCAGGCGCCCTCCCCCCCCCCCCCCGCATTGTGCTTCTTTAGGTCTCTCTTGACACCACTGTGGGACATTTTGTCTATAATACTAACCGCATCATTAAAAGTAAAAACCAATCCACAACAAAATCCCTCCCATTGGTTCCCTATTGCCCACAGAATATAGTCCATGCTGCCTAACTGGACTTGTAAAACCATCCATAAGGTGAACCCAATCTACCCTTTCATCTCCCTATCCTATTGGTTAGAACACTGCACCATTGGTCTTCATGTGGATTGTTTGCCCTGGCTCCAAATCTTTTCCCTTATTGATCCTGATGTCTAGAATGCTCTCTGTAACTCATGTTAGGCTTGGAGTTTACTATGCATCCTGCAAAGTCCTGAAGAAAGCCCTACTTCTATCCTAGGCCTCATCCAACTGTCTCCCTCAGGGAACTTCCACTTTTTTGATCCCTCTAGGGTTATTGACAGTGTCATTCATTTTATGCTCCAACAGCATCAGGAACTCCATGTCCTATGATGTATCAGTCACATGTACAAATTTTTCTCTCCCTTTCTAGACAGTACCTTCCTGAAGGTCAGGAATCTTGTTTAGCATTTATTTCATATAACCCAAGGCCAGGACTGGCTACATAATTTGGGGGGCCCAGCACATAGTGAAAAGGCAGCCTTCTTTAAAAAAATTGATTATTAATTTCAAGATGGTAACAGCAGAGTATTAAACCCAGCATGAGGTCCTTCTGGAGACCCTTGGAGACTGTACAGGTCACATGCCCATGAAGCAAGCCCTGCCTAGGGCCATGTATACAGTAACCAATAATCACTTACAACAGAATGGATACAGTGAATGAATAAATGTGTAATTAAATAAGTTCAATTCTTTTAAAAATCTTCTTTTAGCTTGTGGAAGACACTTTGTTCCTAGAAGTGAAGAAGGACAATAGGCTATAGGTGACCATTGTCAGTGGTTGACTGGAAAGCCTTGGCTGAGGAGAGCCTGTTGTTATGTGTTAATCATAGGAAGTGTTAGAGGATAAATTCTAAAAGAGACTAAAATCATGACTTATACAAATATAAAATAAACGTGGGTCAACAATTTTATTTATCTCATTAATTAATGAGGGAACCGGAATGGTGTTACAGCTGGTTTCAAAGGAAAATTCCAGGAGCAGGCATATTTATGGGCCATTAGGAGGGCTGACATGAATTTGCTTAATAGATGCAAAACTGGCTGCTTCCACAAAGGCCAAGGGAAGTCAAAACAACCTATCAGACAGAATGTGATTTTCTAGGAATAGGAATTATTTACATTACTATCAGTTGTCTACAAGGTAATTTCTGTCTCCACAGAGTTGTAAAATAGCCTGGTCAAAAGACAGTGAAAGGCAGAGATAACCCCGATGGATGAGCTAGTCGAGATACCTGCTAAATTCCAGTCTTTCCCACTTCATGTAGGAGAGAGTTAGAGGCCATGCAGGAGAGAGAGGGATCTTGTGTTACTAATCTCCTCTCCGAATATGAGCACCTGGAACTTGGGGGAAATCATTTCCATTAATAGCTGTCGCTTTTCTTGTTTCTGTTCCTGCCTGTGTAATTGAGATTGCCTCTGTTGAGTTTGGAAGGCAATTGTCTTCCTTTAGAACAATCGAGTAGGGAAGGACTCGCTTCACAGCTGGAGTAGAAGTCTTGGCCAGGTCGTTTGGGATCATTGTTGTTTCTGGAAGGACTCCCAGTTTTGCCTTAAGAAAAGGTGTATAGTTATAAGCATTTTAACATTACAAATTCTGAACCTCTGTGGGGGAATGGGCAGACTGTATAAACACTTAGCCATTTCAAACAGCCAGATATGCGTAATGTTTCCCAGAGTATGCATCATTAAATATTAACCCATTTGTAAATTATGGATTGTATCACTCTTTGTACTTGTTGCTCTTTCTTCAGGGGCCAGTATCACAATACAATTCAAACAACTAAATCTCACAGGTAAAATAAGACTAGAAGATTCTATAGCGCTGCTCCTCAGAACGTGGTTCCCGGAAGGGCACTTGGTAGAAATGCCCAATCTCAGGCCTTACCTCAAACCTACCAGATTAGAATGGGTGTTCTACACCGGTGATGTGTGAGCCTTTTACAGTTGGAGAAGTTCTGCTCAATAGCATAAAGCCCCAAAGTCACCTCTGATGTCTTTGATGTTTTCACAGGAATTGCCTATCTGTTTGCCAAAGCTTATCTGGTTTCCAAAAAACCACAGTACCTGGACACGTGTATCCGGTGTGGGGAACTTACGTGGCAGAAGGGCCTGCTAAAGAAGGGGCCGGGGATTTGCCATGGTGTCGCCGGCAGTGCTTATGTCTTCCTGCTGCTCTACCGCCTCACTGGAAACTCGAAATACATCTACCGAGCCCAAAGGTCAGCTGATCTTTGCGTGTATTTTTTTTTCTAAACATTAATCAAATTTATGTTCTGAATAGGTAATAGAGTCACATAGTTTGAAAAGTGAAAAAAAAGATGCATCACATCAACTGTGCACTCTAGCAATTTGCTTCTCTTTCCAGGTGACAGTGTTACCAGTTTCTTAGTTATCTTCTCAGAGATATACTGTGTATATAAAGTTTCATCCCTCTTTGTTTTATACAAGTGGTAGCACCTTGCTTTCTTAGCAATCACCCTAAATCAGTACATAAGCAACTCTTCATTTTTACTGTTGCATGGTATTACATTGCATGAACGAGCCAGAGTTTAGTTACTAGGTCCCACGTAGAGGGATATGGGCATTATTTCCAATATTTTGCATTACGAATAATGCTATCATGAATAACCTTATATGTATGTATTTTTTGCACATGTGTGGGTATATCTGAAAGATAAAGCCCTAGAAGTGGAATTGCTGGGCCAAAGGGTATGTATATTTGAGATTATTTTTTAATTGTGGTAAGAACATTTCAGATGACATCTGTCCTCTTAACATATTTTCTTTAAAGAGAGAGAGAGACAGCACGAGCAGGAGGGGCAGAGGGAGAGGGAGAGAGAATCTCAAGCACACTCTGCACTGAGTGTGGAGCCCCATGAGGGGCTCAATCCTACAACCCCAAGATCATGACCTGAGCTGAAACCAAGAGTCCAACACTTAACTGACTGCGCCACCCAGGCACCCCCCTCTGAACATATTTTTAAGTGTTAGCTGTAGGGAGTGTTGTACAGCAGATCTCTAGAATTCATTCACCTTGCATAGCTGAAACTTTATACCCACTGAGCAACAACTTTCCATTTTCCCCTCTGTCCCCAGCGCCTGGCTACCACCATTCTATTCTTGGCGTCTACGAGTTTGGCTGTTGTAGATACCTCATATGAGTGTTACCATGCAGTATTTGTTTTTTGTAACCGGCTTATTTCACTTAGCATAGTGTCCTCATTTATCATTTAGAACAGTGTCTGACACATAATAACTGCAATGTAAGTGTTCACTGTTATTATTACTAAAAATTAGAGTTCTATCACTCCAGACATTTCTCTATGCATAAATGCATATTTATATATCTATGTATATATAACTATGTCATATATATATTAATAAGATCCTACTATTATGTATATATAATAGTACTATACATGCCATTTACAGCTTATAATTTTTTTTTAAAGATTTTATTTATTTGACAGAGAGAGAGACAGCGAGAGAGGGAACACAAGCAGGGGGAGTGGGAGAGGGAGAAGCAGGCTTCCCCACGGAGCAGGGAGCCCGATGGGGGGCTCGATCCCAGGACCCCGGGATCATGACCTGAGCCGAAGGCAGACGCTTCACGACTGAGCCACCTAGGCGCTCCATACAGCTTATAATTTTAAATGAACAATTTTTAAGGGACATCCTTCATTTCAGTTTGTATAGATCTATCTCATTGTTTAAATGACGGTATAGTTATTCATTATAGATGTACCATGATTAACTTCACCAATCTTTAAGTAATGGACACTTGGTACCTGTGTGATCTTTACAAATAACAAGCAAAATTGTCCCAGATATCCAGCACATACATTTCTGTGCACCTGTGCAAGCATTTCTTGTCACAGAAATTTTAAGAATTGAAGTCATTAGACCCATGGGTATTTCTAGCCTGTCTTTATCATTTGCCCATTTTTATCCTCTTGTGATGCTTCTCTTGAGAATTGTAACTCTTTGTTACAATATATGCTGTAAATATTCTCCTGCTTTGCCACTTCTCTTTCAACTTAGCCTGTCGTCTTTTGCCAGACCAAAATTTGAAGTATTTTTCTTGTTAAACTTTCAAGATTTCTGGATTTTGTGTTATACTTAAAAAGACCTTTCCTGCTCGAAGATTACAAAAATATCAATTTACATTCACTTTTAGTACCTTTGTGATTTTAACTTTTAAAAAATAAATTTTTTACCTCCTTCACCCATTTCTCCCACCCATTTAAAAGTTCATCTTAACTTTCAAATCTTTAACTAATCGAGAACTTACTTTTTTTAATGGTGTTATCTGGGTATCTTTCTGTTTTTTATTGAAAAAAACCGAAATATTCCAGTAATATCTATTGACCAATTACCCCAATGATTTGAAATGTCAAATTTATCATAAACAATTTATATAAATGTTTGTTTCTGGACTTGCCATATTTTATTATTCATTTTCTCATTTATTCTTCCAACTGTATTTTAGAATCAATTTTCAGATTAAAAAATATTCTGTGGCAATATGATTGGAATTTCAATAAATTTATAGGTTACTTTAGTGAGAATTAAAATCTTTAGAATATTGTTTTTCTATCCAGGAACGTGGTATGTTTTCCCTTTATTTGAGTTTTTAGAAATGTCATTTGGTAGGGTTTTGATCTTATGAAAAAGGTCTTGCATGTTTCTAGTTAATTTTATTCCTAGGTATTTTATGTTTCCAGGTTTGTGAGTAGAATCTTTTCCTGCACTGTATTTTCAGGTCATTTATTACTGGTATTTACGAAAGCTTTTTAAAACGTGCATATGGGTGCCTGGGTGGCCAGTCGTTAAGCGTCTGCCTTCGGCTCAGGTCATGATCCCAGGGTCTGGGAATCCAGCCCCGCATCAGGCTCCCTGCTTGGCGGGAGGCCTGCTTCTCCCTCTACCACTCCCCCTGCTTGTGTTCCCTCTCTTGCGGTCTCTCTCTCTGTCAAATAAATAAATAAAAATATTTTTAAAAAATAAAAAGTGCATATTATTGCAGCTTAGCAACCCAAGATGCACTTCTTTCATATAAATCTGCATTGTATCTTATAAACATCTTAGTTTTGATAGATGTAATGATATATCTGGCCACCTTTCTGAACTTCATTACTGTTTCTATTAGATTTTCGTTAGAGTCCGTTGGGTTTTAGACAGACATACTTGCAAATAATTATAATTTTGTTACTTCCTTCCTCATTTGTATTCTCCCCCTCCTCCCCCATTGCATGGGTCAGAATCTCCATGAAAGTGTTCATTAATACGAGCAATAGCAATGATGATTTTATTAGGAATGCTTCTATGTTTCACCCTGACCTTTGAAATTTGCTTCTTATGAGATGTGTATCATGTCCGATCATGACACTCCTCTGTTCAGGAAAATCCAGTGGCTTCCCATATGACTCAGGAAAAGCCAAAGTCTGTCCTTTGCACAAAAGGTGCTACAGGATCTTGCCTCCCATTACCTCTGTGAGATCATCATCTGCTCTTTTCCACCTAGTTCTTTCTACCACAGTGGCTTCCTTTTGGTTCTTTGAAGGTGCCAGGTGCAACCTACCTCACTGTTTTGTTTCCCCCCACCCCACCTGTAATGCTCACTTTCTACATATATCTCCTAGGCCCCTGACTTCATTCAGACTTTCACTCTAAAGTCATTTTCTCAGAAAGGTCTTCCCAAGCCAACTTAGCTAATATTCAGTGTAAAAAAAAAAAAACCATATAAAATACCTTTTATGACATTTGCCGGTAGACACTAAAGGAAAAATACTAATATATGTCAGTCCTCCATTTGGAGCTTCATTGTTCAGGAATTGTTAACATATTTTGATTCATGGCTCCCTAATCTGTTTTGTTGCAGCCTGACCTTTTATTTCCCAAACATAGAAAAAGAAAGTCCTTTTGGATTCTGTCTAGACTAATGTGATATCACCTTTGGGATTGGTTTCATCAGAGATTGTCAGGCCCTAGAAAGCCTAGTCAAAAGGGCCAGAACAACCCCTCTATTTTTCTGGCAGACCAGTCCTAGATTACAGAATCTCTTAGTTATGAGGTTCTGGGGTCCAGGGCCCTTCAGACAGGTTCCATTTCTCACTTCCAGGTAGAGCCTGAAAATGTGCAGGTCATATCTGACTATATGGGGGGGGGGGCATTGCATTTAATTGCTTTAGTGTACTGAAATTTCCACTTCATTATAATTCAAAGTTAAATATTCTATGGCCCAAACTGGGGAAACTTCCCTAATTTTGGCAGTTCCTAAAACAGTAATGTCAGACAATATGTACCTTCTTGTAATAAACATTACTTAGTCACTGGTTGAAATTTATAGTTGCAGAAAAATAGTTGATAATGGTTTCAGTTTCTTCTATCATTATTTAATTATTCAGGGTTTCTACCTCTTCTTGAAATAATTGTGGTAGTGAATATATTTCTATAAAAACATTTAGTTCATATGGATTTTCAAATGTTTGATATAAAGCTTTAAGAGTGTAGTTCCATGATATTTTAAATTTCCCATGTCTGCAATTATATGCCTTTTTGCATTCCTAATGCTTTTCCTTTTTGGTCAGATACCAACATTTTGTCTATGTCATTCATCCTTTCAAGGAACTGGCTTTTAGTTTTGTTTATTGATTCTTTTTGTGTTTCTTTTGCTTCTTAATTCATAGAAACTTTCTGCCTTTCTTTTGATTTTCTAGTATTCCTTTCCTTTGTTATTTTCTACAGTTAAAAAAAATATTTCATTAGAATACCTTACATCTTTCTGACAATAACAGTAATAAAATTCTCAGATGGATGAATTTTCCAGTTCAATTCTTGTCATAATCAATGTTTTGATATGTGATGTTCTCAGTGTCTGTAATTCATTTTAGTTCTAGAATTACCATTCTGACTTCTATTTTGACAGAATTTTTTAGAAAAATAAATTTGTTAGCTTGAAATTTGCATCACTGGGTAGATTTGGGGAGCAGTTATTTCTACTTTATTTATTTATTTATTTATTTATTTTTTAATTCAAATTCAATTGGTCATTTTCGCTTGAATGTGATAACTATACTGGTCAGAACACAATGAAACTGCTACTCTCATACATTGCTGGTACTCTTATAAAATGCTATATATCATTTAGAAATTATTTTGAGAAGCACAAAAAATGTTTATCATATTACTTTTAAATAAAATGTAGGATATTAATATTGTACAGACTATAATTTCAATAATGTGCTAAATAAATCAAAGCTTGTGGGGGAAAAAGGTCAGGAGGAGAAAGAACAAAATTAACTATGGGTTTCTTTTCTTTTTTTTTTTTAAGATTTTATTTATTTATTTGAGAGAGAGAGAATGAGAGATAGAGAGCACCGAGAGGGAAGAGGGTCAGAGGGAGAAGCAGACTCCCTGCTGAGCAGGGAGCCCAATGCGGGACTCAATCCTGGGACTCCAGGGTCATGACCTGAGCCGAAGGCAGTCGCTTAACCAACTGAGCCACCCAGGCGCCCTGGGTTTTTTTTCAAGTATGGTAGAATGGCAGTCTCTGTTTTATAAACATTCCACTATGTTTATGTGAAAAACAATATTTACTGTTTATCAAATGCTTGCCATATGCTCAGAGCCTAACATATGGTATCTTTAATCTTTACAGGTAATCTTACACAACTCTGCAACTTCACCATTTTAAAGTCAGATTAAGAAATTTGCCAAAGGCCATATAACATGAAATTATCAGAATTGGGGATCTCAACTCCAAAGCCCTTCCTCTTTCTGCTCTACCAGAGCTTCTTAATCTAGGGCTTGTGAATTTACTTGAGAAAAGTATTATATCTCAAACTGAAATGGAGCATTACCTTCAATTCTGACTGTAGGTAATAAGCCACAGGAGAATTAGCAGTAGCTGTGACTCTCACCAGTAGAAGTCATAGATATTCTCATGTCGTATTGCTCTTGTTGCAGATATTATGAAATATATTTGACTCTCATAACTACTTAAAATGTCAGCAGTTATTAGACCCACTACTAGATCTTGTTCTTTAATGTGTTAATAAGGAATCCATATATTATTTTATTTCACAAATTGGGTTTTACAACTTTTGCTAACTGTGCCTTCATATAATTAACTTCCTTGGGAATCCTGTGTATTTTATTTTCTGTATTTGAAGACTTTTTTCTCTGGGAGGAGTCCAGACTGCGAAATGATCCCTGGCACTGTAAAGCTTATGACTCCTTGGAGCTATACTTTGAAGTTTCATTGCATAATGACAAATTTTGAATTAACTCTTTAAGAGGCATCATCATTATACTGTTTAAAATTTTTAACTCCATTTAAAAATTGTTGCATATTCAGGAAAACAGTGGATAGAAAAATTGTACCAAACAGAATTGCAATATGTTTCCTGCTGACTTATTTTAAGCTGCTGTTGATAATTCCAAGAGCCCTAAAAAGATCAAATAAGTAATTACTCTTCGTAGGACCCCCCCCCAACACACACACACATAGTAGCAATAATCTAAATTTATGGCAGTATCAGCTCTCAGGCCTTAACCAACCTGTGAGTTCCTCTGAATTGGTGATTGTGTCAGCAGGTCCGAAAAGAGATAACACAGATCACAGCACTTTCAAAGCTGTAAACTACTACAGTGTTACTCATTATCAACAATTTGAATAGGATTTGTGGCAAATTCAGGTAGAAGAAAAAAGATCTTTCATCGAGAATCTAGAGGCTAGTGATTTATTTTTAAGGCAGATGTCCTAAAAATAATCTATCTTGGAGCTGAGTTTGCTCTTTGATGTCATGATTATAAAATGTTGCTTGCCTTTTCCCATTCATCTTATTCCTTTGTTTGCCCAAAGCACAGGTTGTATAAAATCTTGCCCATTTATTTTCACAGTCTCTGCTCTCTGTCACATATAAATGAAACCTAGCTCAGAAATGATATGCCTGCAGAATCACAGCATATTTACTCTTTTAAAGGAACAGTCATACCTCAGCTTGCTTCTATTCCAGATAAATAAAAATATGGTTATTTATCTGTCTCTTAATTATTGGATGACAGAAGGAATGAAATCCACAGAAAATACCGAACTGCTTTGCTTTGCAAACTCTGACAATAGTTGAATTTGCTTGTCAACACAATTTGTTGTGAAACATACACAATTATATAACAGATCCTCTTTTTTTTTTTAACAGAGAAAAAGGTTTTCTTAAAATATTATATAGTTCTGCAAAGAAAATGGTGCTAGAACTTTAACTTAGCAGAGAGGAGGAAGAAGCAACTGAAGGCCAATAATACGGAAACACTCCCGTGTTCATATGTTCTTTTCTTCTCTTAGGTTTGCTGAGTTTTTATTTACGGAGGAATTCAAGGCCGGCTCTCGGGTCCTTGAAAGTATATACAGCTTGTATGAAGGCTTCTCTGGGACGGTGTGCTTTCTGATCGATCTGCTGCAACCCAATCAGGCCGAGTTCCCTCTCTTCAGCGTCTTTGTCTAGAAGGCTCCATCTTCCACTGTGGCCCTGCAGAAGGTCCCTGAGATTTCCCGAGCCTACCCGAGGCAGTTTCCACATAAGCCACATTCAATGGTTATCACAACCATGAGCCTTAACATTGCCGCCAGAAGGAAGGATGGGAGAAGGCAGGTGAAGGCAACATAATACCAGACTTGACGGAGAACAGCTTGAGAACCTGCAGAATTAAGACCCCACAACTCTTCTAAAAACCACAGAGACTTAAAATTTCAGGGAATAGATGTGAAACCAGAGATCAGAGGAAAAAGGGAAAGAGAAATGATCCATTTTTCAGTTATGGCATAGAAAACAAAACTGAAATGTGGACTATGTAGATAAAATGCCAGTACCTTTGCAACTGGAAAGAGAATTTGGCCATTTGTGGGTGCCCTCCACCCCTAAATTCAGAAATAAACACAATCAAAAACTAAAGTAATTGCCCAGCTGAAAATTGCTAGGAGGAATGAAATGTCAGGTTGCTGAAGGACAAAAAAAGGAAACTTGGTTGTCTTAGGCCTTTACTTATTGAAATTTATGGTTTTTACTGAATGGATAAATTTGCATATGAATCTCTATTGTTAATCATTAATCTGGGCACTTTAAAAGGAAACATATCATAACCTTTTTTTTTCAAAGATTTCATTTTTAAGTAATCTCTATGCCCAACGTGGGGCTCAAACTCACAACCCCAGGCGCCCCTAAACATATCTTAACTTAGTTTAAGTCCTGAAATTCAAAGTTTCTTTAGGCCTTACATCTCTTTTCCTGGTTCCTTTTTCTTTCTTAAAGCTCAATTAGAATAGTAAAATTCATAGGCTAGCAAATACTGTAGCAAGTGTTGCTGTCAAGTGTTTTTCTCAATTTGAAGCGTGAGCTGTGTCTATTGTTAATTAATATAAAATGCTTATGTAATCCCTATGAAGCTATTAGCTGAACTGTAAAATATACTCGTGGTAAAAATCACTCATCTCAAAGATCAGTGTAGCCACTACAAAGGTATGTCATTTCTGCCTTTGATGGAATACTGTGTTTCCTGGGACAGGCAGACCCCGGCTGAGAATGGGACCTAGCGATCGTGAAAAGAACATTGCTAAAGTTTATGCTGTTAGATTAAGAGATGAGTGAATGTTTATGAACTCCTTGGCTGATCACCTTAGTCTCCAAGACACAGGCTCCTCTAGAAACTGTCTACAATACCCACTGAGCCAAGTTGTTATATTAAATTCTACCCTGCTATATACACATAGAAGTTGTAAAACTACTTCAGGTAAATGGGGGTTTGCAGAACATGGTAGGAACATCTGTCAGGTCAGAATGCGAGCTTACCCGTTTCCTAGAATTTGGTCACTAGTGATTTCATATATCGGAGTGAGGAGGGACTTGCGTGCCATACAAGATTAAAGAATTATTCAAATAGTCATTAAATATTTGCATATATGTGATAGATGTAAAAATATATATGTATATTCTATATCTATCTCCATGTAAACCCAAACACTTATTAAGTTCAGTAATTCCTAACTTCTTGATTTATAGATAAACTGGGAGGAGTTGGGAATACTCTGTTGCCTCAAAATATGTGTGTGTGTGTCTGTCTGTCGGCATGTATGTGTGTGTGCCATGTGCTGTGTGTGTGTGTGCGCACACGTGTGCACACTTATTTTCCTGGGAAGAGGTTCTCTAGCATTCATAAGATTCTTAAAGGATCTGTGGCCGAAGAAAGGTAAAAACTACCTTTGTATATTTTATGACTTTATGTTTGCACTCATCAGAACAAGTTAGGACAAAATGGTTTTGAAAAACATGCACCTTTTTCATTTATTGTTTCATTTTCGTATCCTCAGATATAAATATATGAAATTGGCTTCAATTGTTCACTTTGAAAATACTCAGAGCAACACCACATAAATAACAGCTTCGGTTGACTCTCAAAGTTGGGTTCTAGAAGTTCTTTCATGAATAGTCTAGGCCCTCTCGGAAAGCCTTAAAGTGAAATGCCTTCTATGGAGCAGTCTCCTTTTGAAATGATAGCGGTACCTGCTTTTCAGCATCTGGTTTCAATTTCCTTTCCTTTGGCCTCTGTAGGCTGAAAGTAATAAGCATCCAGTATACAGGGCTTTATGGAATACATGCTTTTGTCATCATCCATCAACCTTTCAAGATGATTTAGGTAATTGATCCAAAGTCTCACAGCAAGGAAGGGGCAGAATGAAGATTCAAATCCAGGGTTTCGCTTCACAAGTATATTTATTCAGTACTCCAGACTAGAATCTGGGGATACAGCAGTGAACCAAAGTACCCCTGGAAGGTACCTTCTGTTTCTGTTTGCCGATCCTTTCACCATTAATTCTTGAAACCTGAAACTTAACGCCCTAAGAAGCGATAATCTAGTTCAACATATCAGTTTCATTTCTAGGAACTTCAGAACAACTGGACTCATTCATGCTCGCCCACCCTTTTAAGGTCTAGCAGGGTAACCATGACATTGTGCTGACCCTTCTGAAAAGGCAACGCTTTTGTGTGTCAAATCCAAGCAAAGGCCATGTCTGAGTGTGTCTTTATGAATTGACACGTTGGTAAATTAGAAACAAGGGTAAGCTTGTTTAGCACTTAAACATGTTGAAAGTTTTCATTTTCCTGAAAGAGTAGAATTGTAGCTTTTGGAAGATCCTCTTCTATCTTGTTTTCCCAAGAAGGGGGAAAAGACCCTTAAGTGTTGCGGTAGAAAGCATGGCCTGTCACTTCTTATTTAATTAACCAACTTGTTCCATTCTAAGCAGTAACATCCTTTTCTGAATAAGTGCTTAGGCAGGTTGCCTCGTGAAGGTGACAGGGGCATTTTCACCACCACTAGTGTAATTTTAATATTAGTTACTCTATGTGGCATGAATAGCTATAAACCCCGAAGATAACAGTGGAAATATTTGAGGATAGATTGAAAGAATCCACAATGGGGAGACTGCCGTATACTTCAAGAATGGGAAGTTTTGGAGAATATTACAACTCTGTGAATTTGCTTCATTAACACAATTACGGACCTTCTCTTCCACACATACCCCCAAATATCATATATTGTGCCCAATCACATTTCAGTCATCAGTTTCTACTTTTTTGCTCCATTCCTAACGTAATAACTGAGGTTTGACGAAAAGGTTTTTCAGCATATACACCCCTGTGATTCTTTAGGCAACTGACGACACTATTAAAACAATAGTATTTACTTTCTGATAATTTGAGAAACAGTCATTTTGTTGGTCTGTGTTAATTTGGAACTCTTCCATGGCAGTATATAACTTTAACTTTCTTTGACACACTAAGATTTTAATCAAGGTAGTACTCAAATTGTTTCAATTCCTGTACAGAACAAATCTCAATAATTTCAATGCAACTAATGTAAGCTTGTGATTTATAACCATGCTAAGGAAACACATGAATAAAAGGACAAACATTAGTAATGCAAAGAGCCCTCTGCACCTCACAGGATTGTCATGAGGTTGCCAATGATAAAAATGAATATAAGCCTGCTTCCTCTGCTTCTCTCTCTCTCTCTCTCTCTCTCTCTCCCTCTCTCTCTCTCCTCCTCTGTCTCTCATGAATAAATAAATAAAATCTTTAAAAAAAATGAATATAAGAGAGTTTTGTAATATGCAGGTTCTTTATATATTTTAAAGGGAACCTATATTTTAAGTACCTACTATGTGCATAGAAAATTGTGCTCAAGTTTTGACCTCAAATACGCATTTCAGCCAAATGGAATCTCCACATGTGGATGCAGTGCTTGGGGTCCGGATCACTTGGTGGGTAAAAATGAAGTGTATGTTTTTTATATTCTAGAACCAATCCTGACCGTAGTATTCGTGCCTCAGAAGGTTCTGATTCACTGGGGCTTAGTAAATAAGAATAGGCTGGTTTAGCTCGGAGCTCCTTTTAATGCAAATATTTATTTTGCTTGCTGGAAACAAAGGATTACAGTGCCAGTAATGTAGGAAAAGGAGCTGGTAGGCGAGCTCTGCAGAGCAAAAATGACCTGGGAAATAAAGTATTTTTGGTTGAGTTTGGTCCGCAGTATAATTCAGGCCTCAGGACTGTGTGACATATAGCGATAGAAACATACTCTCAATTACATATGAGGCCTTCTTTTGGGGATCTGGGTTATTTATTCAACACTGTCCCAAATTAATAGACCAGCCTCAGATTCGCCAAGGCCACGTTATCTTGGCATAAACTTGGCCAGGAAAGCAAATGAAAAGGCAACCAAAGGGGTGGGTGGGGAAAGCTTGCTGGAGCTCAGCATCTCAGTGTGAGTTGCTGAGGCACTTTTTAATGCTAAGAACCAGTCATCTTACTTGTGGGTTTTATTGCTTCCTGGGACCTCTAATCCCCGCCCCCCCCCACCTCCCCACGATTCAGCAACTTCTTGTCCTCCCTTTGGTCTTTAAATAGTACATTCTGATGTTTATTTTTTCCTGTGTGTGCTTAATCATGTGACCTCCTTTTGCCTGGGAGGGCAGGATTTCTCCTTATCTCTTCCATCCTTGTCTGTTCGTAGCTAAAACTCCAGGCTCAATAAGGCTGGACTCCCCTCTGGCAAGAAGGGCTGACCTCTAGGTCAGCCGCCGCAGGAGTTGGGCGCATTGTGCAGTCAGGCCACAGGTCCGGGACAGCTCACCCCGAGTGCAGCTGTGCCGGAGAACAGAATGACGGCTGCATCCGTCCTGCCTCTCCTCCATAAAGAAACCTCGTCATTTTATTTGCACTGCTGTGAAAAATCCCCAAGTTGATGCTACATTAAGTATCTAGGCCTCCTGCATTACCATAACTCTCATACCGGGGGTGCCCTCTCTCGCTGTTTCTTTAATTGAAAGTGCTAATGAATTGAGGCCTGATGGATGATGCCTTTAGGGTTAAGAAACATTTTTAAAAATTCCCTTCAAATATTGAACCTTGTCATTTCCACCTAGACTCTTCCACAAATGGCAAAGTCCCTCATCTGCAGAAATTCCTGCATCTTCTTTTGCCTTCGTGAACCTGTTACTTTCACCTCTGAACTGAATTTGAAAAATCATTTAAAACGAAAACCAAATCATATTTTTGTTCTTTGGAGAGGTTTGTTAGTGAGTCAGATGGTGAAAAGAGCAGGCTGGCCTTCCTTTTCTTGCCTTTCTCGTCCCCATACAGTATCAAGGAAGAAGAAGCGAGACGGAGAAAAGATGCAAGAGGCGAGGCTTGACTGTGGAGGACTGTGAAAACACAGTTTGCAAGCCCTTCCTATTTGTCGCCTCTTCGGTTTTTCCTAGTCACCCCCCCCCCCCCCCCCCCCCGTAGGAAATTCTGTGTGTGTGTGTGTGTGAGAGAGAGAGAGAGAGAGAGCAAGACTAACTTAGGGAGAGTCAGTATCACATATGATATAAAACCCAACAGCTCTTAGATATATCTGAGTGGTGAATAGGTATATGCAAGCATACACTGATGAATGAATGGGTCTTCACTGTGTGTTAACTGCCCTCTAATAAATGAGTACATAATTAATGAGGGCCCTAGTTACACTTCTAGTTGTCTATCTTAAGCATTCATTTTCATTAAAACTTCTGCCAGGTTAGAGCCATTAGTAGCCAGCTACAGAAGATAACAGATGTGAGTTTCACAAATAAGGCCGCAAATGCGAGTCACATGCAATTTTAAATTTTTCTAGTAGCCACGTTAAACAAAAAGAGGAAATTAATTTGAATAATGTATCTGATTTAACTCAATGTATCCCAAATATTCTCATCTCAACATGTAATCAGTATACAGTTATTAATGAGATATTTTACCTTTTTTTTTTTTTGTCCCGGGTCTTCAAAATCTGGTGTGTATTTTACACTTACTGCACGTCGCACATGGGACTAGCCACATTTCAAGTGCTCACGAGCCACATGTGGGCTGGCTACTGTATTGAACAGCGGAGGGCTGGCATATACTGCTGTTTCACGGTACTGATGAGGTCTCCCCACAGCTGATGTATGTGTTTGTTGTTATGAGAGGAAATGGAGACAAAACACTGCATGTTATTTGAGTCCTGTGGTGTTTCCCCAGATTCCGAACACTAATACCAACAGCTGCCCTGGGGAAAAATAGATTCTGTGATTAAATAAGTTAGGCAAGTGCTGTTCTTTTACCCCCTTTTGGAGATTTTTATGGTGTATTAACATATCACAGACTCGGAAAAGACCCTCTTGGATAAAGAAAGTTGTTGTTTGTGTCTGTAACGTTCAACCTCCTGATTGTCGCTGTTGCCCAGCTGCCAACTATAAAAACATGGTTAGTCTGGCATGCTATGTTTATGGTATACTTATAAAATTGTTTTTTCTATAGAGGAGTTTTAATACTCTTCCCCACACCCCGGCCCATTAAAGATATCAGAACAATGGTTCTGTCCCAGAGTATTAATCCCTATTAATTATCTTGTCCTCACAGAGACCTGAGGCCATTCTTTACTACACTTTTGGGGACAAGAATTCGGAAAATTGCCACAAGTGTCTCTACATAAGAAAAATTTTGTGTCTTCCCCTCCTCCACTCTTCTTGGAGCCTATCTCTACTTATTCTTTGTATTCAGAATCACCCGAGAGCCAAGATACATTGTCTTGTTCTAGAGCCACCTACTAAATTGAAACCAGCAGATTGTTTTAATGTCTTGCGCATGGACGTAGATCTTCAGAAAGTACCCAAATACACACCTTCCTCTCATGCTTTCAGAAATTATGAGCACTCTAGAAAGACGAGGGGAGAAACATCTGAATGTGCATATGTGTAAACACAGAATACAGTCTCTTAAGTAGGTAATGCCACCCTGCTGTTGCTTTCTTTTTATATTTTGTGTGTGGTGTTGATTTACATGCTTTAATGTGTACTGTTTTTGTAAAGTGAGTAAAGTAGCTGTGTTAGCAATCAGTTTAAAGAAGATATAAACTATACTTAGCAGCTGTCAATCTTCAGCAAATGACCTTTTTGCCTTTGTTTTAGTGGGACCTCTGAAACTGCCCCCATAAGTTTTGTTTTGCTATCTGTGTGCTTAAGTGGCAATTACCGATTATCAACTTCTGTTGCTGAATTTGGTCCAAGTTGACTGCAGTAACTCTTATAATGTGTATGTATTCAAATAAGAAGATTGATCTTAATGATCAGTTTTGTCTGTTTTTTAGGACTTTAGTATTTCAATATTAGAAATGTCTTCTGAAGACGAGCAGCAGAATCCCTTTGCTCTTGAAAATGCAAAGTGTACCATTGGTTTTATATAGACTCTCCGGGAGTAGGAGTGGAACATTTGAAATGCAAGAGTTTGGTTTTAGAATCTGTCTGATAATGACGGGCAGCCCCTTCTCTAAAAAGGTAACAGCTCCCCCAACTATGAACATCTGGGGGAGCTCTACTTGGAAAGGCAGTCTGAATTTTAATCTCATGGATTTAATGGCGCTAAATTAACAAACATTTTTAAAATGGATTTTGTAGAATCCAATTATTAAGGAAACACTTTGCAAAGCCATATAATGGGGAATAGTCAAGCACCACATGCTAGTTTTGGAGTGAGCATTTACCAAGTGAATAGAATTTACTTCACCAAAAAGATTTTTTGCACAATTGACAATACTTACAGTAATATGATTGTATCATTGGAGGAAAAAAAGCTCACCCTCCTAATGATACATTTAACATTCTCTAGTAAACTAGTGCAATTACTTATTATTTTAGGGGATACAAAAGAATAATCTGTCAATAGAATATAATTGCTTATTCCTAATTGTATCTAGGAATGAATACATACTATTATTTAAAGTAGTATTAAATTTTGAAGAACTGATCAATAAATTAATAAAACTGTACTCTTTGCAATACACTTGTCTCAGCACAAATGCAGAGTTAACATAAAACTATTAAAAAATACACCAAATAATAGAGATTAGTTGTTATTACTTTAAACTCCTGATTTCCATTAACATTAAATCCAACACCAGTTATCTGTTCCATATAACTAAAATTTTGAAAGTCTTGCACACAAAATGAGAGGCTTCTTCAAAAATGCCTTTTTGCCAAAAACAGGTTCTACGACCTCTTGCTAAATGTATTTCTTTAGGGGTACTTTGAGGCGCGTTCAAAGACGAATTGTTAGCAGTTAGGTCTAAATTTAGACCAGAACATTCTGCCAGATATTTTACTATATCACAAAATGTTGTAGTACTGTATTTTATAATGAAACCAAATTCTCAAGTATTCTGGTACGTTACATATTATTATACCAAAAAACCACTTTCTGTAAGTCTGTTATTATGTACATAGTATTTTAAAAAATGGGTATTTCAGTCCTAGGGAGAAAGTATAATGCAAAACGTGACATTAAATTGGTCTTTAGTCAAAATCCATTTAGGTATGACAGGGAAAGAGCAATCATAGGCTTGAATGTATACATTATTTTCAAGGACAAAATGGTAAATGATAATACATAAAGACACGGTCACTGGGGCAAGTTAGCTGGTGTGCATACTGAGAAGGATCAACTTGCAAATGCTCATCAGATTTTAGCTTTTGCTCTTGGTTGTTCCTGGAGGGGAAGTGCTACAGTCAGTTGATCTTGCCTCCCCTTCATGTGGGGGGAGCTTTTCTCACAGCCACTGCATGGTATAATGACATCTCTTTAGAAGCAAGATTGAGTCAGAAGCTTAGAGATGCACCTTACTGTTTTAAAAACTGCTGTTATGATGTTCTAAACACTGTGATCTTTCCAAATGTGTTTTCTGTATTAGTTTTGTACTGTAGAAAATAATTCACCATAAACTGAACTCTATACTGTTTAAAGCAATGTTATTTATGGCTTATCTTTCCCCATATTTATGTACAGTCTACTTAATAATATGAAACCTGTGATAATTCTTTGCCTTAAAATAAAATCCAATGCTAAATATTGAGTGTGCTCTAATTAATGATTCTAAGCTACAAATTAATTTTTCCTTTAAACCTTAATACAGTGTCAAATAAAATATTACCCAAATATTCTGTGGAGTGTTGCTGCCTATTCTGTGTTTGTGACAGTGTGTGTATCTTGATCCAGGACATGGTGGCCTGCTGGGTTCTATAAATAGATATTAGTAATCCTTTCAGAGAATGGGCCTGCTACCTCTCAGCTGTTGGCTGAATCCTCCCCTTAACCCTTGTAAATAGATTTTCCCATGCCACACAAGAATGAAGAAAAACAGCCCTCCATGTTCTCTCCCTCTACAATTTTTGTCTTGCTTTCTTCTGAATCTTCATATTCTATTTGTGTTGACATCATTTTCCTAAGTAGAAAAATGACAGATATGCCTTACGATTGATGGAATCACCTAATTTCAGCAGGGAAAGGGACCTTGTAATTATTAAGGTCTAATCCCTTATGGAACAGGTTAGGACCAGAATTTTAGGGAGATTTAGTGACTTGCTCAAACTCTGAGGGACAAGGGGGTGGGCTGAGCCCCTCCTGAGGTTCACAAGGTTGTCACAAGCTCAATGAGTGAAGAGGAATTATGTTAGTTCTGGGGCTGGCACACACTAGCAAGCAGAGGTATGCCTTGGGCTAGAAAACCGTTTCCTTATTAGGTCCTGGTCTTCACTCTGTGCGGGTTAGTTACAGAGGAATACATTATGTAGGCAGTTTTTCTGGGAGAGAAGGCTTTGGCTCCTAAGGATTGTCTCTGATGCTCTTTAACCACTGCAAGCAACGTTTTAGACCACTGTATCTGGAAGGCTGAAGGGCATGCTTATTTGGCCCACTGAAACGGTAAATCCTGGATACAGGACTTCACGCTTGTACTTTGAAAAACATCTGTGTGGTCTGGTTATTTTTAAATGACTGGAAACGCTGGTCCTTTGAGGAATTAGGCGTTCCCTAGGCCCACAAAATAGAGACCTGGGATGGAAAGGCGTCCAGCCCCGGATTCTGGGCCCCATTGGTTGCAGTTTTTCGAAGGGATGTGAACGGCAGCGCGGGCCAAGGGCTCTAGGACCCAGAGGCTGAGCGCGGGGCCAGCGGGCCGTTGGGGCTGCGGCGCGAGCAGTCGCAGGACGCAGGTTCGCGGCCCGCCTGAGGTCCGTCGCCGCGGAGACGCCGCGGGCAGAGGGTGGCGCGCGGGCGGCGCACGGTGCGCGTGGGCGTGTCGGCGGGGCCGCGCTCCCCGCCCCAGCCCGGCCCGGCCGGTCGCCCCCAGGCCGCGCTCCAGCACCCCGGCCTCTGGGCCGGCCCCGTGCCCTCGGCGGGTAGCGCAGGGCGCGAGAGCAGTCGGGGCCGGGCATGCCGGGAGCCCCCCTCACCCCCCGGGCAGCCGCCGCCGCCGCCACCACCCTGTCTGCCGCCGGTGCGCGCCGCTGACGCGCGGAGATGAAATTCCCGGGCTCCGTGCTGGCGTCCGTGTTCCTGTTCGTGGCCGAGACGACGGCGGCGCTGTACCTGAGCAGCACCTACCGCTCGGGCGGGGACGGCATGTGGCAGGCGCTGACGCTGCTTTTCTCGCTGCTGCCCTGCGCTCTCGTGCAGCTCACGCTCCTCTTCGTGCACCGCGACTTCAGCCGCGACCGCCCGCTCGTGCTGCTGCTGCACCTGCTGCAACTCGGGCCGCTCTTCAGGTGCGTGCGGGCCCCCGGGTCCCCTCCCCCTCTGCCCTGGCCGAGAGGGGCGGCTTTCCGAGAGGGGCCGGCGGCTGGACTGGGTGCCGGGCCCAGGCCGGCCCGCCCTGCGCGTCGGCCCCACCGTTCCAGTCACGCGAATGCGACAGAATCCGGGGAGAGTGGGGATAAAGCCGGGGCGGACCGCCTTCCCTCTTAGGTTCTCGCGTATGAAATGGCCAATACTCAGCTGAACCTGACCGACAGAAATGGCAGGTGCATATAGTTCGACCTCATGAAATACAAGCCTTCTCTGGGGTCAGGTGGGCTCTGGCAGGATCGGCTTGTGTCGTGACAACCCCTTGAGAAGTGTGTGGGCTGAATCGCCTTCAGAGCAAAAGCGTGTGCAGGTTCTTTAATTTATCAAACGCGGAGTTTCCTGTGTGCCCGGCACTGTTCTGAGCGCTTTACAAATAACTAATTTATTTAATTCTCATGCAGAGCTCTAGAAATTACGCATCATTCTCTTGGTGTGGAGACAGGGTTGTAGAAATGCCTTCCGGCCCTGCCTGACTTACAAACATAGTGATTGAAGCTGGAACACAGTGTGCCATGAAGACAGAAACTTTCGTGCGTTAAGAAAAAAACCATCAGTGACATTTCTGGAAATTAATTTATATTAACACAAAGCAAGTCGAATGCACGGTAATGAAGTAGACTGGCTTATCTAAGGACCATGAAGAGAGTTTAAAATGTGTTGTTTCGACAGCTTTCAACCCTGTAGGAAAAGCAAAACAAAGGATTCTTACCTGTATTAGAAAGCAATTTATAATACTGAATTTAGGCAGAGGTGATAGATGAATTGGAAGAGATGGAAAGGCTAGAGCTCAGCTGCCAGAAGATTCAGCTAGCCAGGAATCTTCCCCTACCAGGCAGTATCTCCCCGGCCCCAACACACACAGAGACCCAAAAAAGTCCAGTAGCAAGATAGATTTTAGAGAGCCCTATTCTAAAACTTTGCACTTCACATTAAATACAGCTATCCCACCTGACGCTCAGATTACGGACCTGCAGTTCACACACAGGACAAACTGGGTGAACAAGTCTCCCAGGATCCAGAAGCCACAGAATCCTAGAGAGGAACAGAAACAGGTACACTAGCGGTACTAAGGCCTTGCTACTGACATCTGAGAGCAAGGGAAGAGTTAGGGAGGAAAAAAGAAGGAGAGAGAGAAAGAAAGAGAGGAATTTCAAAGTCGTGCAAACTGGTGCTATTTAGTGAGGAGGTAGTCCTCTCTGACCAAGTAGGCCACAGCATCCTGATTGTAATCCCGCTCAGTAAAATCAATGTGATCTGACTTTGGGCAAGGCACTCTTCATTTATTAACCTTATCTGTGAAAAGAAAACTCATTGCTCACGACGTTTAAATGAAGTGACAGATCAAGGGGAACTGGTGTTTCTCAGTGCTGCTTGTGCTAGATGGTTTGCTTGGTGCTAAGATCTACCTCAGTACGCTGAATCCTCACCATGGAGTAGATGTCACTTTTCCCATTTTATAGATGAGGAAAGGGACACCCCAGACCATGTTCACAAAGCTTCTTAGAAATTGAGTTTGGTTTATGTCCCCTACACTCTGAAAGAAAGCTGAAGAGTGTGGAGTATGTTTTACCAGTAGCCCCATCTTAAATTAAGGAAGTTTGGTCATCTTGGCAAAATCTAAACAAACGACCTAAATAGCTATCCAGGTGAGTGATCTCTATCATTACTGCCATTTAAAATCTTTCTAAATATTAAGAGTGACCCCAGACAAAGCTAGTGACGTGATATGTATAAAAATAAGGTGGCACATATAAACCTGAGCTCAAGGAAATATACCAGGTTGTAGAGAGTGGTAATTTCTGGATGACGGAGTTACGGGCGGTTTTAATTATCTCCTAGAAAATACAAAAAAGTGCATCATTTTTTCCCCTCATTATATGCTACTCTACATTTTTCAGTTTTTTTTATTATTTTTTATTTTTTATTTTTTTTAAGATTTTATTTATTTATTTGAGAGAGAGAGAATGAGAGATAGCACGAGAGGGAAGAGGGTCAGAGGGAGAAGCAGACTCCCCGCTGAGCAGGGAGCCCGATGTGGGACTCGATCCCGGGACTCCAGGATCATGACCTGAGCCGAAGGCAGTCACTCAACCAACTGAGCCACCCAGGCGCCCCATTTTTCAGTTTTTATAGTAAAAATATTTTAACTATTTTTAAAAAGTTTGATGCTTTGACGAGATAACCTCTCAGCTATATAAAAAGTTTCAATTCCATAAAAAGACCTAGTTCCAGAAAATTCTGAATGGGTCATTGCCTTCTTGGGGGAAAAACAGAATAAGACAAAAAATAAAGCAACAAACCACCCCCTTCTGTCAACAAGGACTCTCCCATTCTAATGCAACTGATTTATTTCAAGGAGATATTGGACCCATGATCTTAGAGCTGAGGTACACAAAACGTGGGTCCAAACCTCTTAGCTTCCAGATTAAGAGAAAAGCAATTTGCTGACGTGTATTCGCAGGACTTAATATCTTATTGGAAGTTTTTACTGCTGGCATTTTGATTCTCTTTTAACTCCAAGACATCAGCTTTACTTAAGATCAAAATTATTTCCCCCAAACAAAAGAGAGTCATGGTCTGTTTCTTTCCCCTACTTACTAATTTGACTTACTAATATTTTGAAATTGTTTTTGGAAAATTTAGCTCAATTTATTTTTGGTTGGGTACTAACTAGCCAAACTCATGTTCTTTTTGGGTGAGATGCTGTTTTTGAGTTCACTCAGTTAAACTGCACTGCATTACACTGTAATAATTATGGGCTAAATACTAAAAACTAGGCCCCGTTCCTTCTTTCCTTTAGGGAAGCACTGGGAGAGCACCGTATTTCATTTATCAGTCTTATATTTAAAACTGTAGTTGCAGTTCATGTGGTTGTTTCCTTATTAAGCCTAGGTCTGAATGATATCATTGAATAGTATCTTGAATTTATTTTTTTATTTTAAGGATGATCTTATTGTGAATGATAATAGATATTCTAGAAAACCAGAGGGGGAAAAACACCTAACAACAACAAAATCTGTTTATCATCCTTTTACAATAATGTTAATTTTTTAAATAAATTGGGAGAAGGAATAAATATAAATGGGTTTCAAGTTCAAGGCATTTTCCTCCATTTTTATTTACTGGTATAATGAGGAAAATCTGGGTTTATAAAAATGAAAGCTAAGAAGTTCTAGTAATTTTTTACAGAACAATGCAGCATGATTCATGAGAGTATTTCTTTGTATAATAAGCTTTCAAAAGACTTTAAAATAGGGCGCCTGGGTGGCTCAGTTGGTTAAGCGACTGCCTTCGGCTCAGGTCATGATCCTGGAGTCCCGGGATCGGTCCCGCATCAGGCTCCCTGCTCGTCAGGGAGTCTGCTTCTCCCTCTGACCCTCTTCCCTCTCGTGCTCTCTCTCTCTCTCATTCTCTCTCTCTCAAATAAATAAAATCTTAAAAAAAAAAAAAGACTTTAAAATAATAGTACCCCATATTTAAGAGCTTTTTTTTGTTTGTTTGCAAAGTGCTTATACGTACAGTATTTAATTCCATCCACTGTAAAACCCTGAGACCTGTCATTTTCTTTTTTGTTACAGTCGAGAAATTGAGGCAAGTAGCTTTTCAAAGGTCACATCGTGCTTTCTATGTAACCAGTTTGGTTCTTGTGTAGCCTCATCGAGCATGTGTGTCATCTGAAGATAACATGGCATGTAGGAAATCATAGTATTTCTTTTGAAAACATGTTTTTGTTAACTGCTTTAAAGGGTCTCTGATACCACAGGTTATTTGTGCAGACACCAACAAGCATCGTTTCAGCTATGGGATAAACTCCTTCAACTGTGATGCTTGAAAATGGGGTGAAGTTAAAAAAAAAAAATGGATCGGCCTGCTGATTATCTACATTGTGGGTTGGCAGACTATGCCTCACCGGCCAAATCCCCCCACTACCTGTTTTTGTAAATAAAGTTTTATTTGGAACACAGCCATGCTCATTCATTTAATGTATTATGTATGGCTGCTTTTGCACTGCAGTGATGGACTGAAGAGTTGGGATACAGACTGTGACCTGCAAAGCCTAAAATATTTACTCTTTGTAAATCCTTTACACAAAATGGTTGCCAACCCTTGGTCTACATGATACTGAAAAATAGCCTTGAACGATTTTGATGAAAATATTTAACTTACAGCTATATTTAGACAATCTCTCCAGCAAAAAAAAAAAAAAGAAAGAAAAAAACCCCACATTTGGAATAATTGGATGAGTTTTGCAGAATTTCAAGAAGAATGGTAGTTTGTTTCTTACCAGTTTTCTTAACCAGTAGTGGCAAGTAGGGGAAGTCTTAGGACCATACACACATTTATTAAACACCTACTATGTGTAAAACTCTGTGCTGAGATAAATGTATTAATTGGGAAAAACAGTGGATTGCGAGGATGTCCACTTGGGCTTCAGGGCCACCTCTGTCATTAGCCATTCTGGAACCTTCTATAATCCCGATTGGTAGACCTTGAAGTGTCAACAATTTGTCAACAGTTCAGTACATGGTTCCTGTTTAATACAGCACCCTCCTCAGCATCAAGAGACTGGCTTTCTAAAGAAAGAGAGACTGGCTTTCTCCTCTCAACCTTTATTTTCATTCATTCACCTCTTAGCATGTGCTGGTGTTTGGTTGTTTAGTCTTTAAAAAGTCTAAGCTTGATTTTATAATTCAGGTAAAACATATTTGTTGTTGAAAGGACAGAAGAGCAGAAAACAGATACACACAATTAAAAAATTTAAAAAACACTAATTTGACTGCCTAAAAAGAACAATATTTATCATTTTGTTGTATATCCTTACTCAAATTTTTATAGCAGTAAGCTGGTAAACTATCTCTTGGGGGGAAAAGCCCTGAATTGCAGAGTTTGCTGGTTTCTGTGATGTAAATATTCCCATCATGGCCTATTTCAAGCTACCAGTTTTTTAACAACTGGCTCACATGATTCCTAACAGTTTAACAGTCTCTTGAGTCAGTATGAGCCAAATCCAGCACTCCAGTGTTTATGTGTATGTGTGATTTATATGTTTTTATATATGTGACTTTTTTTTTTTTTACAAAAAATGGAATTTTCTATGTATATTCTATTATAATTTACTCCTTTCACTTACCAAATATAGTAGACATTTTTATATATTAGTAGATGTATGTCTATACCATCAGTTTTAAGGACTGGGTAATACTTCATTGAATGTATATATTATGATTTATTTAATTCTTGTTTTATTTTAGGACCCTTAGAGTATTCCCAGAATTTTCCTATTGCAAATAATGCTATAATTCAAATTCTTGCAGTAGGCTTATATGAGAAATATTTTGAGAAATATTTTGTAAACCGAAAGTGCTATGTAAATATTAGTTGTGTTCATTATTATTCTCATGTATACGTACTCTTTTCCATTTAGATTGTGAACACCTCTGAATGAGGCAGGTGTACCCCAGCTGTCTTTACATTTCCCACAGCACTGGCAAAGTCCATCTGCATTCATCACATATTTGAGAATTAAGATGATGGTCAATTTATTTTGTCTTGTAGTCCTTGTGTGAAGTTGCTAGGCCTCAAATAGTTCTTATAGATTGGCGTTTTTCTTTTTTCTTTTTTTTTTTTAGATTTTATTTATTTGACAGAGACACAGCGAGAGAGGGAACACAAGCAGGGGGAGTGGGAGAGGGAGAAACAGGCTTCCCGTGGAGAAGGGAGCCCGATGTGAGGCTTGATCCCAGGACTCTGGGATCATGACCCGAGCTGAAGGCAGACGCCCAACGACTGAGCCACTCAGGCGCCCCTAGATTGGAGTTTTTCTCAGAGAAAATTCAATTGGATTAGCTGGACTTGAACTCACAGCCTGTACTTCATTATTTTCAGTTGAACAAATTGGCCCAGGCTTTTTTACCTGTTTTTATGTACTATATCAAAGTGTCTTTGACCCCATTGGACAAAATGTACCAGACAAACCTGTCTCTCCCACCTTATCTCTCTTTCTCTTACGTACACACAAGCACTGCTGTGTACCTCCTTCCTCCCAGGAAGGAATGAACAAAGACAGTAGTCACAAAATATGTCCACTTTGTACTCATCAGAGAGGCTCTTGCATTTCCTTTCTTACATCAAGTTTTATTTTATTAGTTAATTATAAATGTATTCTTGTTGCCATAGTTGCCTCGGGTGAGAGTACAAAGTTAACAACTTTCAATAAAATAGATGAAGCCATAAAACCTTCTGGCAGCGTCATAAGGTTGTTATGAAAATGCATGTTGGGAGAAAAAAAGTCCTTTAACAATTTTTAAACCTAAGGCCATGAACATTTTTCTTATTTCTAAGAAAAACCCATTTTCCCCCAGCATTATATTATGAAGATTTTCAAACATGCAGAAGACAACTTAAAAGAATTATACAGTGAACACCCAAGTACTCACCACCTAGGTTCTACAGTTAACATTTTATTTCATGCGTCTTTCCATCCCTCGATTGACCCATCAATCCATGTGTTTGTATGTGTGTGCACTTCGGAGTAAATCACGCAGGTCAGTACTCTTCCTTTGGTATCCATATCATTACCTAGAGAGGAAAATCTAATTTTAAAAGCTAGGTACTCTGTCAGTCTAGAAAGGCGACTGGTTAAGGCTTCCTCCCTAGGGCAGGCTTATTCCATAAGTAAGACATAGCTGACAGACCTCCAGACAGGATTGACTTTAGTCATGTCCCATAAGGGTTTATGAGAGCCGAGAGCTAGGTAGTATATTGTCTTTTAGGCGAGTGCTAGATGGCAAGCTGCTCTGTGCTAGGGGCTCTCCCACCCATAGCTGCTGCTTTAACTGAGGTGATATGGGGCATCTACTGGATGTGGAAAAAGAATATACATATATATATACATATGAATATATCTATATATCAGTACACACACAAACATACACACCCATATACTGTATTATTGCCACAACAGTGTGGCAAAGTACGTGTTCTCTCTGCTTTATAATTGAGGGAAAGGGTTCAAGGGTTAAATGACTTGACCAGGACTGCACAGCTAGTAAGTGTCATGAAGGGAAATTGAACATTCTTCTCTGGCTCTGGAGCCTGAACCACTTCCCCTTCCCTACTTGGTTTCCTTGCCTCGGTGGCCTTTGGCGTCCTCTCTCAATTAAGTTCACACTCATTTTCAGTCAGCCTGCTGGAGGGCCGCAAGAGGACCAACTTCATGCTCAGAACTCCTTGGAGTGGGTGATTTGAGAGAAGGGGCTGTAGTCCAGAGTAGCCAAGTCAAAGCTTTGAGAATCAGGCTAAGTGTAAGCAGGGTAACTGAGAGAAGACAGAATCCTGTCTGTCTCTGATTATCATGACTTGCTGATTTGTTTCCAGGTGTTTTGAAGTCTTCTGCATCTATTGTCAGTCAGGCCACATCGAAGAGCCATATGTCAGCATCACTAAGAAGCGACAGATGCCAAAAAATGGCTTCTCAGAAGAAGTTGAGAAGGAGGTGGGCCAGGCCGAGGGCAAGCTCTTCACTCACCGGTCTGCGTTCAGTCGCGCATCGGTGATCCAGGCCTTCCTGGGCTCAGCCCCCCAGCTGACTCTGCAGCTGTATATAAGCACCCTGCAGCAGGACGTCACTATCGGAAGATGTATGTATATTTTTCATTTCTGCCCGCATTCAGGGGTCAAAGTAGGGAGTAAAACAAAGTTTATTTTGTTTCATGTGAAATTCATTCGTATATGCCTTCAGTTCTGAATCTGTGTTCCAGTTACTAAGCTGAAAACTTAGTTAAAATAGTAGCAGTGTTTATTTTGCTTATGAATCTGCAATTTGTGCAGGGCAGCCCAGAAGGGCTCACCTGCACTTCATTGTACATCAGCTGGGGTGGCTCAATGATAGGGGGCTAGAATCCATTGAAGGCTCCTTCCCTCACATTGCTTATGGCCGATGCTAGCTGTTGCTGAGGGCCTCCGATCTTCTCCATTTCATCTCTCTATGTGGGCTAGTTGGGGCTTCCAGCGTGGTGGATGCTTTCAAGGGCAGTGTCCTGGGGACGAAAAAGGATCACCTTTTGTGATCCAGCCTCGGAAGTCACACGACATTATTTCTGCTGTGTTTTCTTTGTTGAAGCAGTCAAAAATCCCATCGAGGTTCAAAGGAAGGGGAGGGGAGGAAACTCTGACTCATGATGGGGAATGGTAGAGTTCTAGAAATTCATTGCCGTGACCATTTTGGAAAAAAACAGCTTGCTGTTGGCTGAAAATGCACCTGTCAGAAGCTGGGCCTCTTTGGATTTTGCCCCCGTCATTCAGTGATAGTTCTAAACCAGCTGAGACCCTTGGTTGTAATGGGTTCTTTGTGATGAATGATCAAATCAAGAACACTCTCCTATCTTCTTGAAGTTCTAATAGGTAGCTCAGCTTTTAAATGAACACAGTTGTCTAACCTTTGGACTGTTCTTTGGCAGGTTTTGGTTAAACCAGATTTAAACAAAACAAAAACCTCTACATGCCTAAGACACAAGTGAAAAAACTTCATATGAGGAGAGGAAACAACTCCTCCTAAATATTTTAGGTAAATGGAAACCAGATATTCTGGTAGGTTTTACTATGTAGACAAGCAAAAATGAGTTAAAAGCCTTAAGTTGAAAAAAATACATATTTAAGATAACACTGAAATTGGAATTTTAAAAAAATAAAATTAATTTTACTTCCCTCAGTATTCTCTTCTTTCTGCCGAGGCTAGATTTTACCATCTAGGCTCACTGGTAAAATGGCTTAATTTATGGCAGGGTCACAGGGTATTTGCATGGCACAGCTCATTCAGGTTACCTCAGAGTGACTACGATTCTTAAGATATGTCAGGACCTAAAGTTGAGGTCTTGAACCTCGGTCCATTAACATTTATGTGAAATGCCTCCCACAGCTCCAGGCAGACAGTAGGTACTCAATAAATGTAGCGGCATCCTTGTTCTCTAAGGACTTATAACTGGAATGGGCATTGACCAAGGTGAGTCCTCTGCATGGCACTCTACCCTTTTCCCAGTTCTTGGTTTTTTCCATGTGACAGGGACACAGCAAGAGACCAGAGGTGGTGATAGCCTACTTGATTTTGGCCGGTTGATCCAGTTTTTTTCCTCAAGTTTTTGAAAATGAAGATTGTCTTTGTTGACCTAAATGAAGAGGCAAGGTCAAAATTCTAAAAGGAGATGAGTTTATTTGGGAATAGCAGAGGAATTGTAATTTGGGACCCACACACTACAGCAAGCCTCAGGCAAGTCCGCTGAAGGTTGGGGGTAGGCCGTATTTCTGGGCAGGGAACACAAAGAGGGGAGAGTTCAGATGGAGACTGTTACAATCCAAACAAGTAGAGACCAGCCTTAAAAATTCCCCAAGCAGACAAAACCAGTCCAGTCTTACAAAAAAAGCTCAACTCAGCTCATTTTGCGAGACCAGCCGACCTGGGTCATTTCTTGTTCATGCCTCTGGGAAATCATAAGCAGAGCTTTCCAGGGTTGATATGAAGCAACCCCTGACTACTTCCCTATCATTAAGAAAATTCCAATATTATCAGTTTTGTTGTAAATTAGACACTTACGGGAAAGCAGTCTCTCAGTCCTTAAATTTTGTTTTCCTTAGGGCACAGGTGTGAGATTTTCCATTTTATATCCTCTGGGTTTATATTAGATTGAAGTTCTTTCACATTTCCCCCTGTTGATCAGGATCTTTCACAGAAAACATTGCTGATCAGTTATGTCCTTCAGGTGTATTTATTTTTGTCAAAAGTAAAGTTCTTTATAGGTGGATTGTATTGTATGTCCCATGGAGCTTAGGAGGGTTGTCCTCAGGTATCTTTTCCTGTGGAGCAGAGGACCAACCTCAGTCGCCTTTCCTCACAGAGCTGAGGAGGACCCCATCCTCAGGTGTCTTGTCCCACAGAGGAGGGAAATGATACAGAATTTCAATGGCCTCATTTGAACAATAAGAGGATTGAAAAATGAATAATCTCAGGTATGTCCCTTTAAGGTGGATGGCTTAGTTTCCATGATTATTTGAGTTTCAAGAAAAGCTTTTCAAAGGAAAAGGATTTTATTTTATACATACATTTGGGAAGAAGACATTTGCTTATTAATACAAAACAGAAGAAATTTAATTAAAAAGATTAAACTGAGGATGAAAAGCCCAATGATAGCTAGTGATTGAAATGCACTTACCAGTTTCCCTAATTGCCCATGTTTAATAGATAAAAAATGTCCTGCGTTCTGGGAGGTTGGCCAGCTTCAGCTAGCAGCTTGATATTGTCCTTCATTATTTTTAGTTCTTGTGTTATTTTCCCCGACTTACTGACATAAAGACAACTTTCTTCTCTGAGTAGGACACAGGTTCCCTCTTCTGAGCAGAGAGGAGGTTTAGGGCCCTGCAGTCTTCTAGAACTACTTCGGCAAGGCTATCGATCTGGGTCTGCTGATATGCAAAGGCTTAGACGGAAGCATTTAAAGTGGTGGACATAACTATAGAAAGATTGCGAGTGGTGTTTTTTGTTTGTTTTTTGTTTTTAATTTTCACTACTTCAACCCAAGGAAGAAAAGCTCTGGTGAAAGCAGGGCCCAAATTTTTCTGTCCACCGTAGGGTTATATATAGGTATCCAGCCATAATTATAACCTTCCCAGGTCCGATGTATCCTTTTAAGTTGATAGGAGAAAGACCCTATGTTAGGTATATAAGCAGAAGTGGGAAGGGTTTTTCTAATTTCAGTATCAGGGGTAAGGCAACAACCCCTCCACATCCCTTTTAGTTGAGGGATAGTGTAGAACATGTTTCTTCCACATAAAAAGAAGTCCGCACTGTCTTCTCAGGATAAGGCATAATTGGGTCCTTTTGCCCAGATTCTTTCCCCTGGAATGAAAGAAAAGATCTCATAATCAGAAATGTAATCATTATTATACAGAGCACATGATAATCTGTTTTACCAGCATTATGGGAATGATTATGTGAGCACTAAATTTCTATAGATGTGAAGTAACAGATGAGCTGATCTAGTATAAGTTAAGATTTTGGTTGAGGTCTGGGAGATCTCTAGGAAAAAAGTGAGTTGAATTAAGTTTCCATCTTTTGCCAGACATTTGGTCAGTCCCCAGTGAAGTACCATTGAATGGGAGTACATTAGCTTCCAATTTTCCCATCTTATTGCATTTCTATTGCCCCACCATAGGGAAGACGATAGAGTCTTCTGGATTCCAAAAGGGAGTGAATTCATGTTCATCTAGGTTCTATAAAATAGTATAGTTACAGATATTTACTGGGAGATACCCTAGAGTTTTGCCATTTCCGTTATTTTTTTTAAAAGAAAGATTTTTGGGTAAGAGTCCAGACCTGAGTGAGAGTATTGCTTTATGAGTGGGGGGTACCCAGTGGAAAACCATAATATTTTGTGCCAGTTTTCCAGGTGGGAAGATGTGTGGTTTCAAAGGTACCAAAGGAAGATCCTACACCTTTGTCAGGTAGGTTTTGCCATCCTTCTAAAGATAGTGGCCAGGCCACCAATCTAGGTTCATCATCACGAGTATTATTTACTCTGGCACAAATCCAGAAATCAGTAAGTTTAGCAGAATCAGAGAGTTTTTGTAAGGTGGAGCTAAAAGGATGCGTTAAAGCTAAAGTAAAGGATAGTAGGAAAACTAGGGAAGAAACGATTGAAGACCTGAATGACAAGATTAAACACAGAGTGAGAAGGGAAAACATACTCAGTACAGGCCTGGTCTATACATCTTGGGTAGACTGTCTAGTTCTGATGTCACCTGCTTTGGTTACTAGAAATTTTCATTGTTCAGTCACCAGATGGTGTGCCAGTCCATTCAGATTTGGGGGCTTTTTTTTTTTCCAGATGAGACACATGAATTCAGGAATCTATTCCTTGAAGTTTGGCTGCTCAGAAGTTAGTTAACAACACCTGGTGGGGGCCTTTCCAGTGAGGTTGAAGGGAGTCTGTTTGGAGATGTCTTTTCCAATAGATGAAACATCCAGACTATAAGGGGTGATTTTTGATGTCTTGGTTTCCCAGGAGCTCACTGTGGAAAGGTTGTTCTACCAGAGTGTGATTATTTTCTATGGACTTGATCAGTCCTTTGCAAAAGTGAAGTATATCTCCCTACCCCCCCTTACTAGTTGTGGGTCAAAAGAAATGGGGGCTGAGCGTATTGGCCATTCTGTAATTATTTCAAAAGGCAAAAGTTTATGTATCCTGAGGAGAGTAGATCTAAGGCTTAGAAGAACCAGCAGTAATGCTTTTGACCAGGGTATTTGGAAGATTTCAGCTGATTTAGCTAATTGAGTTTAGTAATTCCATTTGTACATTTGACCAGTCCTGAAGACTGAGGACGGTAACGCAGTGACACAGCTGCTGATCTGGCCAGGCAGCGTAGACTTACCGAAGTATTTGACCCCTATAATGGGTTCCCCAATCACTATGAAGTTCAAAGGGGATTCCCCAAGTGGACATAATCTTGTCTAATAGGAATTTAGGCACAGAAGAAGCAGTTGCCTAGCTACATGGGAAAGCTTCAGTCCAATCTGAAAACATGCAAACCATTACCAGAATGTACTTCTGTCCAGTAGATGGGAGCAATTGTACGAAATCCGTTTGCCAAATATGAGTGGTCCCCGGGGCAAATTAAAATGTCCGGGACAGTACGGGTAGGTTTCCCTGGGTTAAATTTAGGGCATATGGAGCAAGGAAGATAAGTGCGTTTTGTGGTCTTGTCAGCATTTCCCCACCAATATTGATTCATGAATGTTATTTTATTAATCAATGATTTAATTCACATATGGTAGTTAATATGGAAGTTTTAAATTTTCTGGCAGGACTGGTTTGTTATTGGGTCCAAACCAAGTTTCTATTCTTCATGACACCAATAGCCTTTAGATTTCCAATTTTGTTTTTCCTTTTCAGGGGCCAATTGTTGTATTCCCCTAGCTAATTTTCTTGGGTTGTCACTAGGGGAAGCAGTTTTCTGGACCACGACAGAGGTTTGGTCTTTGGATCCCATAAAAGCGGTGTTTTTGCAGATATCAGCAAGGTGGTTTCCTTTGGCTTCCAGAGAGCCTGACTTAAAATGACCAGGGACTTTCATAATAGCCAGAGGTCCTGGCAGGAGTATAGCATCAAATAAATTTTGGACCTAAGGACCATTTTTAATTTTGTCTCTGCTGGAAGGAAACCCTGTTGTTTCCCTAACATTCAAAATCATAGGCTACTCCAAAGGGAGTATGGAATGTATAGAATGTCTGACAAACATCTCCCTCTCAGAAGGACAGAAATAGAGAACAGTCAGAAGAACAGCCCTGGATTTAAATCCTTTAATGGCTTTTGCTGACAGAAGAGCAGGCCTCCCTCATCTATGCGCAGCACTGGGGACTAGATGAGGCTGTGGGCTCTGGTACCCGGGCCTCACCACTCCCTGGGTTGGGGCACGGCTTCCACCTGAGAGTAGGTGTTATCCTCAAAGAGGCGGCTCAGGTGCTGGTTGTTGCCCAGGGCCCTCTGCACTTGTTCTGGGGTGCTGTGCATTTTGTGGTTGTTCGGGGCCTCCTGGCCTGCCAGCTCCAGGATGTTGGCCATCAGGTACTCGAGAATACCTGTGAGGCAGCCAGCGCTCAGGCGCTGAATTTAGTGACCTTTTTTTTCAGTAGGAGGTCCCTGTGGCTAATGGGGAGCTGCAGCTTGTTGCCTAATAGCATCAGGGAAAGCAACAGCAGGACTCCGGCATTAGAAACATAGAATAGGGGCGCCTGGGTGGCTCAGTTGTTAAGTGTCTGCCTTAGGCTCAGGTCATGAGCCCAGGGTCCTGGGATTGAGTCCTGCATTGGGCTCCCTGCTCAGTGGGGAGCCTGCTTCTCCCTCTCCCCCTTCTTGTGCTGTCTAGCTCTCTGTCAAATAAATAAATAAAATCTTTTTAAAAAGGAAACATACAATAGACAATAAGGGTGCGGACAAAATCTAGGAACTCTGCATATAGCATAGAACTGAAATATTGATATTCTTAATATTTTACCTATTCAACTTTAATCTGTGGAAGGCTGAATACCTCTTTTGATTTGACTTTTTCTTATGCAACTAATCAATACTAACATAACAAATTGAGCTATTTTTTTCTAATTTTTTATAAGGTAAAAAAACAATCTAATTGACTTTTTAGGGACCTCAGGAAATCTCAAGGACAGTTTTGAGTACAAAAGGTGTTGTTAAGTTTTATTTCATTTTTCATTTTGGATTCAGTGTTGGAAAGTAAAATTGAAGTTTCTCAGGAGATTTGAGACTTAAGATGGGATCATGGGTGCCTGCCTGAGTACATGAATGTTTGTAGCTTGGCTATTTATTAAATAAAGTAACAATACAATATTTAAATAAACATACCAAAATCACTAACACATTTGTAAATGCAGGTTTATTTTAAAGGGAATAATCAAGGGCATGATAAAATCATAAGAAGGTGTTACTGTGGTGAGATATGGAATCTCTGCTATTTGGACAGATTACACAGAAGGTGAGGTGGGAGCTTGAATAAGGACCCTGAAGATATTCAGGTTCTAATCCCTAAAACCTCTGAATGACATTGGTGGGCCCTTAATGTAATCACAAATGTCCTTATAAGGGAGAGGCAGGAGGACTTTTTTGACAGAGGAAGAAGATAATGTGAGGATTGCTGGCTTTGAAGGGGGAGGAAAGAGCCACCAGCCAAGGAATGCAAGGAATCCAGCTCTAGAAGCTAGAAAAGGCCATGAAAGGGATTCTCTACTCTAGGGCCTCTGGAGGGAGCAGGGCCCTACTGACACGTTGATTGCAGCCCAGTGAACCTGACTTCAGACTTCTGACCACCAGAACTGTAAGAGAACAAATGTGTATTGTTTTAAGCCCCCGGATTTGTGGTAATTTGTTACAGCAGCCATAGGAAATTCTGGAACAAGTGATTTTACTTCAGACAGAAACATTCTCTTTTTGGCACTTAAATAAAACAAAAAAAATAACCATGTCTCATTATCTTGAGACTCCTAGTAGAGTCTCAGTCACATACAGTCTCATTCATATTTATTACTTATAACATTTAAGCACTCGCATTTCACAGAGGAAACTAGGGGGTGGATAATTGTGAATTTCTGTCATTTTAGCAGAGCTCATGAATACACTCAACCTAGCTTTTATTCAGCTACACGATTCCCTTATATATTTCACAACGTGGCAGAAATGAACACATTCATCTACAAACCCAAAGATATAGCCTCTTTGTAGCATATACAAATAAGCAAAAGTATGTAAACTAAAATTACGCTTGGTAATGAATGTTTTAGTATTCTTACTTAGAAATGATCTAAGTGTCCATTCTGTGTCTACTGTTCCATAATATCGGTCAGAGGTCTTCAGTTATCTAAAGATTTTGGAAACACTTTCAAGGTGACATACTACAAAACCTCATTACTGTGGAAATACATGTTCGTCAGAACAATGATTCAATTTGCTTAAACATAAGTTGATATTTTTGTAATCTTAAACATTCAGTAGGTAATTCTAGCCCATTTGATTATAAACCTGTGTAAGTTTAGCAAAAATATACCCAAGAGGCATAAAAATGTATGCTTGTATTATATTTCACAGAAATATATATACGAGAAAACATAGTAGTTTTCATTAAACCTCAAATGTTGTACTAGTTGGAATTGTCAAAGATTTACATAAATTCCATATAAATTTGAATTCTTAAAATATATATTTTAAATTTAGCACATTTAAAATATTTCTGTATTTTAGGAAATTTTTGTTATATTCCATTTATATAAGCAATTACTTATCTATGTATGCCACTCAGAACAGAGCTCCTTTAAATTAAGAAAGAGACTTTATAATCTAATATATTAATACCATTGCAAGGTAAGAAAATGTTACACACAATCAGAGGTGAAGGCATTTCTGAATTACAGATATGGAGACATATAGCTCCAGAGAAACAGCTTCAATTTTACAATTCTAGCCATGGGTCAAGGGTAAACACAGAAACAAAATCTTCCCAGTCCAGATTTCAAAAAGCTATTTCCCTCCCAAAGGGCATGAAATTCTGAATTGATTTAAGCTTAAAAATAGACTAATAAACAAAAAGACTGACAAGCCAGATTCTCTTGTTTCCTCTCACCCAGCAGGGGCTAGATCTCTATAAACCATGAGTCCATGTAAAGAGATCTCCAGATGGTCAGATCCACAATCCAAATTCCCATCCATTTCTGCCAACCATGGGGAATAATTTAATGGCCATAAATGAACGAAAACAAAAATACATTAGTATGAGGCAATTTTTTAAAAGACAGAAAAAGGCAGAGTGAACACAGTTCTGTTGGCACTTTGGCTTCAGATAGGAGAGCCAAGAAAGGACACTCCTGAGCTTTAACTGTACATGAGGTACATTCTCCATGAACCATTTACCTGGTTCTGACAGGTGAACCTACCGGGCATCTCATTGTGAGTTTCAAAGCAGTGAAAAGATATTTTTCAAAAGGTGAAATCATGTCACTCATATAGATATGGATACATGTTGAAAGATTTTATTACTTACGAAGGAATGGACAGGTGTTAAAAACCACTTCAAAAGAGAACAAAGGAATGTTGATTAGGAACATTGAAATAAAGATGTCCTTGGGAATAAAACTGGTTTTATTACACTATGGGAGGAGAGACCATTGAGCCTCCACTGGACCATGCACTTTGTATGTGTATCAGTGAGCTGACAGCCTGTATCCTGGAGCTGGCAAGCAACAAGGCCCATGACCATCGCCTCACAGTATGTGGAGAAGGCAGTGCCAGACCTTGAGCTCTACCACTTCCTTAGGGATGGGACAATTTGTCTAATTGATGACATGTCCCAATTCAGGAAGAATTGCTGATGTCGGTGTTCTAGAGCCTGGCGAGGACCCTCATAGCCTCATTCACTGGCAACCCCACTCACAGTTGAGGGGGCCCCATGCTACTGTCATCAGCAATGCTATTAAAGAGTTTGACTCCATGGGTATGCTTCTGACTCCTCTCAGTTTCTCTCGTTTTGAGTTGGAAGTGTCTGTGGGGCATCATCATAGAGTTTGAAGATTTAGTTTGTAAGTAAGAATGGATATATAGCCTGGAAAGCTAAATTTGGGGCCCATAGCAGGTTCTTGGATACTCTGAGCCACTTTTCCTTGGCCCTCTCGATTTTAGTGCAGCTGTGGGGAAGAGTTCCACATGCATTGCCAGCATCCCACATCAACTACGAGTGCCAGCACACACTGTGGTATTTCTCTTTTTTCCTGCTTCCGGGTTTTCTCCTGTGCCAGAGAATGCAGTTCAAGTATAGATGAGAAGTGTGAGGGACCACTCACAAGGCCACCTGCAAACTAAAGGAGATGGTAGTCTATGGATATAGCCTCAGCCTCTGTCCTTAAGATGGATAATTTGGGGTCCAAATGTTACAGTCCTCTGTGGATCCCCAGAGACAATGAGCCCTGCTTGCCACAGTGGTAACCAGCTTTATGTAGTCTTTATTAGCCCTGCTGCCTTCACTCCTTCACTTTGCTTCCTAGGCTTATATCCCAGATGATCCCCCTGCATCCAAATGCTTGCCTCAGGCTCTGCTGCTTGAGAGTAGTCATCTGAATGGAGGTGGTAATTTGAACCACAGCAGGCCAGACACGTGCAGCTGTGGAAAAGGCAGCTAGATTCCTCCAGGGTACAAGTTCTGTCACAGGCTGCAGAAGAACGGAGGGGCAGGTGTGTTTGAGGTTTGTGCAAGAGAATGAATGAAGTTGTGCACCAAAGATTCTTAACTGGATGGGGGGAAATAGAGGGTTCATTTGATGTGAGTGCTTGATAAGAATATAAAAAAACAGTTATAGGTAGTTCTTAGACAAGTGAGATGAATGGGTAGAAGGTGGTGGTTAGCATAGGATGTTTCAGTTAGTGATTTCAGAGGTGTTTATAACTCATCCCTGCTGTTTCATTTCTGCCATATTTGGGGAAAGGCTGAAGAGGCTAGGGTTCATCAGTCTAATTTTATAATATGGTTCTTTGAACTTTGGTAACCTGACATAATTGCCTTCATTTTAATCAGGTCACTTCCCAGAGATGTACCTTGGCCAAACACACTGTCTAGCTTCAGAAAAAAACTTCCTTAATGTATCACCCATTTCTAGGACCAGCTGTGTTTTATGAACTAATCTAAAGATAATAGTTATAATTTGTACATTCTTAGAGGCACATGGAAGGGATGTTGAAGGATAGCTCTGTGTGTGTGTAGTGCTTTGTGTGTGTGTGTTTGTGTGTAGTGCTTTTTATAAGTTTCTGCCACAACATCTGTTTTTTGCATGTGTGCACACACACACACTCACATGCACATGCATACACAAAATAGAAAACATCAAAAGGAGTCTCAAAGGAAATACACTGAAATGCTAGTTGTCTTGAGATAGTGAGGTTATGGGTTATTTTTTCTTCTTTCCACTTATCTGTGTTTTTCATGCTTCCTCAATGAATGTTTATTGGTTTTTGTTGGGGGTGGGGAGAGTGGTCAGGCCTGATACTGGTCTAGCCATGGGTCTTTGTCTTACTCA